ATCGACGAAGTCTAAAAATTAAAATTCAATTCGCTGAGGACAGGATTCGAACCTGCGCGGGTAGAACCCATTGGATTTCAAGTCCAACTCCTTAACCACTCGGACACCTCAGCTTTGATAGTGAATTCGAAATTGCTATACAATTTATTGATAGCGTAAACAAACACTTGGTGATACAATATTGCTATAAGATAAAAGTAAATATTAATATTTACTTTATTGTATACGTAGTAAAAACAAATATATTATTTTAAACATGGTTCAAAGAAGATTAAAGTAGAACGATAAAATAAGACGACTTCAAAAATAAAATGCAGCTACATAGTACTATTGAGTCATTCAAATAAGCTTTTTAGTAAATCTATAGTAAAAAAATCTTGTAGAGAGCTTCTGAGAATGCGTTTTCCTCGTCACAGTATGAATAATCGTGTGATACGTCACAGATGACGCGAACATGAATAAAAACAGCGGGAGATTTGCGCGCCGTGCGCTAGTGCGCTCGCGCCTGCTGTCACGGCACCTCTGCCTTCATCACTGCCTACGGATTTGCAGTACTAACGTAGAGTCGACGGTGTTAACAAAATAGCTAAACTTGCTAAGTAGTGAATCCCATTCTAGTCGTTAATTAAGTGCTTTAATTTGATATACATTTTTGAAATAAATATTTTTTACAGCTTTCACAAAAGTTGTGTGTTTATAGATTTATCTTTTCACTGATAGAAATACGTATATAAGTGTACTGTGCTAGTTTTGATGTTTTTATAAATAACAACAATAAAACAAGTGTTTAGAAGCTTCGACAAAAATACATCCGGCTAGCGAAGGCTGGCGCCCCGCGATGCCTGCATGGAGCCTAGGCCTCCACCCTCTTCGCCCTCTGACACAGACTCCGACTCCGGAGATGAAACCGTACCCGCTGGTAATTTTTATTTGAATCGAAACGGAAATATAAAATAATAATATCAAAAATCCAAAAATACATGACAAATAGTAATCATTTGATGGTTCAAGTGTAGAAATTTAAAAGTGTAGAAAGTGTATTTAGACTCCCATTTTTAGGATATAGAATGCCTGCCTACAGTATTATATTTTTAATAATAATAAAGTTACAATATAGTGGTGTATTAATTTTAAAAAGGCGCCAATTTTTTGAGTTCCGACGGCCCATTGCCGATGCCCTTTAAGTAACTTTTTAAATATAAGTTCTGAACTGGACTACAGACGTCAATTTGATTTATTAAAAATATGAAATTACATTTATGTGTACGTTGTAATTAATCATGAAAGGCAATCAAAACTTGTAGATTTATTTATTTTTCGTAAGGCGCAGTAAATGTTTTGCCGCTCAATTTTCATGTCAATGCCATAATCCAATATATTTTTGACATTATTATTACTTAACTACTAAGAGTAAACCTTGTTAAAGGTCTATAAAATATAATAAAAAGCCAAACAGTGTTGTACATTTCAATTACAGCTGATTTTGAATGTAAACAAAATTTTTGCATATTACCTGTGTAAGATCTTTGCTGTTTAAAATATAAAATTAGTAGTAGTGCATTATAGTCTTAATTATTTAAAAGTCGTTGTATTCATCTTGTTTAATTTATTACCTATGCTTTTTCATTTGTCTTATTAGAAGTACATACTGACAGGTATATTTAGTAATTTTATATATAGCACGTGGGTAACACTGAAAATGTTTAGAACTGGCCAGTCAGAAACATTGCTAATTACGTATTGCCATACAGTCCTGCCCTGGCGCCCTGCGACTTTCATTTATTCCCAAGAACTAAAGATAAAATTCTAGTTATTCGCTTTACGAGCCCTGAAGATGCGGTGAACGCGTACGAAAATGCCATAAAAGAGACCCCAAAGGAAGAATGGGCCCACTGCTTTTCTCAGTGGTTCGATCGAATGCGACGATGTTGAGAGAGGAACGGAGAATACTTCGAAAAACAATAAAGCATTGGCAACTTCCTACATTAAGCTGTTTTACATTTTCTAAACATTTTCAGTGTTACCTAGGTATTAACAATAATATAGTCTCTTCAAAAAGAGAACGTTAAGCGAAAGGCGTGACAGTTAAGCGAACTAACATAATTTTTATTTGCTACGCGTCATTTTATTTATTCAAATATTGTTTACTTTTTTATATTAAGATTTACGATGATAACTGTTGATGTGAAATATAATGACGGAAGAGTATTCGATATGTAATGACGTTCATAAGTGTACATAGTTACCAATATGATTAAATAAATTTTGATTGAATGATTATATATAGATAACAAATTACACGTCGAATTGATAACCCCCTAATTCGGGTTCTTTTTTCTGAAGTCGGTTAAAATAAAAGGTAATTTAGCAATAAATCCATGACGATTCCGCACAGATAACGTCGTGTGATGGTGTAATTGAATACACGGCCCTTTAGATCCAAACTTAATATATTAGATTAATTTTTTTTCCCCAAATATATTGGTTTAACCACTTCCCAAAAATTTTAGTCATAAAACTGTTTATAGTTTGGCGGGGGCCGGGAGCCCTCCGCGCCCCATCTTCGTCATCCCTGAGGTCGAGGTCGATCCCCGGCTTGCACTAATGGGCATCTCTGTATATGTGCGGGTCTAAAAGGGGGGGGGGAGGAAAACATCCTAAGGATACCGTGTCTCAAATCCAAAAATCGATGACATGTGTCAAACTGATAACCTACTTTTCTATGAAATAAAAATGACGAAAAGACCCATATAGGGTTGTAGTGCCACTGGATTATTATCTCTTTATAAAATCATTGCATAAACGAATTTATCAAGAAAGGTTTAATCATCGGTTTCGAGATACACTTGGCAAATATACATACTTTATTATATATATTTTTCTTATAAGAATTATACCAACTACAATATTGCTAAAACTTACCTCAACATCATATCACGATCCAATATAGTAAAATGTATTTCGCCTGAAACACAGTTTATATTGTAGACTATTTCTTTACAATTAAACACAAAAGGCAATAAAGTTTACAAGCTTAATTATAGAATACTTAAATACTAAACTTTGCAGATCCAGAGACGTGGGTGCGACGCGACGTGGTGCGTTGCGTGCGTTGGGCGGCACGTACATTCCGCGTGCACGCGCCGCGAAGGCATCTTTTGCCTACATCAGGAGCTGCTCTGCTGCAGCTTACTGAGGAACATTGGCTCCAGGTCAGTCACCGGAATGATTTATCTTTGGGGATACATCTTAACGAACATTAAGAGAGGTCTAGCAGCGCTGGTACCTACTGTATTAATTCCAATAGTGATATCGATTGGACACGTGATTCCAAGTAGCTAGTTATAGAAACCACTATGGATGTCGGGAGCGCTATCTCTATTGGAGGAGATGGTGGAGACTGGAGGTATCTACCAACGCTGCTTATTTTTATTTAATGCACCTCAATCGATAAAATATTTATAAGATGGCTCAAATATTTAATAATTCGTCTTCATACTTGATATCTTAAAATCAGCTGTTAATTATAAAAATGCGACTGCAGAATAAGTTGATATATGATAATACGCAGTCGCTGTATCTCTAGCCAGAGAAATTGAAAATAAATCTTGGAGCATACGATGATAAACAGAGAAATGGAAGAAGATTTAAATTTAAATATTCTTGTCCTTTCTCTATTCAGTTTCGTTAATAATAATTATTATTATTTATAAGCCATGAAAGAGGGTACATATTATGATGAATGAATTACAAAGAACTGCTCAATGAACTATGTCAAAATGGCATGCAAATGTTAAAAATGTTATACTTAGGTATATAAAAAGCACTGTGCCTTTATAGTGTTTTTTTTTTCAAAATGGAATCATGTTTTCTATATGATTACTCTTTAAATACATATAAAGATCAGGATTCTGCTAACATGGCTAAAAATCCCCTGTTTATTTTTGCTTTGTAAGAAATTTTTAATACAGGTGTGCGATGGCAAGACGGAAGCGGCGCGCATCTTCCACACATATGTGCAGCACGTGCATGCGGAGGCAAAGGGCCGGCCTCCACCAGAGCCGTTGCCAGAGCACCAGGCCTCGACCTCCGCTGCAACACTTCCAAGTATGTATAATATTTATATCTTGTCGAAAAATTAATTCAAGTGAAATAAACTTATTACTTAGTAATTATTTTCTAACCTGCAAGAACTTTACAGGTTTTACTTTTCTGCATCATTATACAAATGAGGTAATATGTATGTCTTTAACATACATTTAAAATTAACACATCGTTATTAGTATGGAAATAATTAATAGCTGTAAAATTATGTAAATGATATCTTATATGAAAAAATATGGTATATAAAAAACATCTGTGATTTGGCAAAGTATTTAATTATTGTTGTCTGCATATCCGCACTAAATTCTCAAGTGCTCCAGCAATATCTCGGTTGTCTCCAGTCCTGTCAACTCAGCGTTTACTTTGGACCAAAAAATATACTCGTCATAAAATTCAAGCAGCTCACTTCGTAAATCTATATGAGATGCTTTAATTAACACACCGTATCTTACCACTACCTTATCTTATTAATAAAATGGAGTAAAAGCCCGCATAGCAAGTGTACATTATTCAAAAAGAAGTTTTTAGTAAACAGTGCAATTAAGACCTAATTATATATTTACAGCGCCATCTAGTGCATACGCTACTAGTTATAGCTTGCGCGCCAAAAAAACTCTTGAATGAGTTGCTCATGATTCAATGTAAGGTAACGCGGCCGCGTTCCATTCATCTCACGCGCTGACTCAGGGAAATTCTTCGAAATGATCGCGAAAGCACCATGATTTTTAAAGCATTGTCTAAGTAACGAAATACCCAAACATATTTCCTGTATATGACGATTACTTGTGATATAATAGTGACCTAGACTATTATGGTAATTTCTGATAAATCCTAATGATCGATATCTCGAAATGGATGTATGTAGTTAGTTGAATATTAAGTATTTTTTAAAAGTTTACTTATTCAAATGTTATCGCTTTATTTTCTTAGTTTAATGTCAATGTCCATTATGGAGTGTAGTAATAGAATTGGAATGCAATAAAAAAGAAAGAACGAAAAAAATGTCTGCTCTTTCGACAGGAACGAGAAAGACTGGTAAAGCCGCAAAAAATCCATCCAAGGGGATTGCCCTATGCAATTCCATTTCAGAAAGCTACATATGTATATTTTCAGAACTAATTTACAACTAATATTATATTAATATAATTAACTACCTATATAGTATTATTTTTTATGAACATTGTTGCATTAATAGTACATATACAATCAGATAACATAAATTAATAAGGAGGCAACGGGCGGGATTATCGCTAACAAGCGATCTATTCCAGGTAACCCTAGTAAGGAAAAAGATAAAAGAAATACTGAGAGAAAAGAGCAAAAACCGTATAAACAAAATTACAGTACAGTGTAGAATTATATAGTTATTATACAATTATAAAACCAACATCTGAAACATTAAAAAAATAGTGCTTATAGTTACCTATTTAAAAAATATACCTAAATGTTATGATACTAGCTACTCTCTACTAAAGGTAAAATCAATCTACAATGTTTTTATTTTTACACTAAATTAAATTATTTATTTTATAAAAAAAAATATAAATACATAGTTTGAGATCGCTAGAGGGTAGACCGCAGCTACATAGTATTTAAACCCAGTATATAATAGTACAGATGACCCTAGAGCTGGTGCTTTCGAATCTTAAGTATCACAATACAACGGGGAAATGCTGCCAGCATAATTAATATCAGTTTACTATTTATATTTTCTTATTATTAATATATTAGTTAAGTTTGCAAATAATCTAAAGGTTAAAATTTATTTGAAAAAAAAAGGATTAAACATAAAGTTTATTTGGAATCCATTTTATATATTCGGGAGTTTCAGTATTCGGCGAAATAAAACAAAATATGTGAAAACTCCATATATCTAGTCTACGGGGAGAGATATGGTCAGTTAATCTGTAACGAGATCAGAGGCCATTACTGCCGTAATGAACAGTAGGGGACTTGGCGATAAAATCGTATAAAATTATCGTTTACTGTGATTGTTTTCTCACTATCGAATATTAAAATAACGAAGAGTGACGTGAGGGCATGTGTCGCGTGCCGAACGATGGTCACGAGCCAAACATTTTCCGAATATTTTCCAACTGACAGCGATTTTCGGTATGCAGTGATTAACATAAATTCCGAACGATTCTTAATCATTATTTTTGTATATAAATAGCTTTTCAATAGTATTATGTTAATAATAGTTAACGGATAAAAAGCATTGAACTTCAGTTAATAGTTGTGTTTATTACTAATTGTCCAATATATTAAATTTTTTTAACAGCACGCTTATTATAGTTTATTAATATAATTCATTTTCGTGTCATTTCCGTAACCTACACTTACTACTTTTTTTTTTTTTTTTTTTTTTCCCCCCAACTTTTTTTTTTTTTTTTTTCCCTCTCTTTTTTTTTTTTTTTTTTTTTTTTTTTCCCCCTTTTTTAAATTTTTTTTTTTTTTTTCCCCTTTTTCTTTCAGGTCGGTGTATGAAAGAACTGAAATAGTTTATTCTTGCAAGTAGGATATATATTAATGTCCATGTTTCTGTACATATTTCTGTCTCTTATAGGTCAGTTAGTCTTATTTCTTAATGTTATTAACATGATTTATCAACCTACGCCGAAACGTTATGCAGCTACATTAATGGACCTGCACAACCCGGAACACAACAACCCCGCCCAACCCCCCATAAAGTTATTGGGCAATCACTTCTATCAATTATAAATAAAAAGAGTTTATATACCCGCAATGTATTACAATGGATAAAAGTTATTATGTGTACCTTAAAGCAAGGAAAAAAAATTGAAAAATACAATCGTAATATAAACATTATCCATTGATCAAATTTGTAAAATATTGTATGCAAAAGCACAAAACATGTCATATTGTAGAAAAAAATGAATATGCACTAACCAAAACATGTCATAATGTAGAGAAAAAAAATTAAAAAATGAATAGCATCATTCAATAGAATAAAATAAAATGCATATGCAAAAGCACAAGAATGTCCAGATTGTAAATATTTGCAAAAAAAAAAAGTGAAAGACAGCTTAGACAGACAGCGAAGAAAAAAAAAAAGTGAGTCATTATTTACTAGGAAATGTGATTCACAGTTCCGGATACTATTCATCTCAAAATATCTGACTTATATAAAACATTGGCGCCAGCTGCTTTCAGGTTAAAAAAACTGTATGAATCGTGGGAGAATAATTTGATGTGTCATCGATTAATTGTTCGATTTAAATTCGAGTCAACGAGGTTTTGCCACTCGATGTGACCTTGAGAAACAATATAGCTTTATATATTAACTCAAGTATCGTAATAAAAATCAAATAAATTGATATCCTCATACTTGATTGGCTGCAACTGCTCCACCCACAGAAAATAATATCAGACTGAGACTCAAAACATTTCGTGTTTTATTAACAGCGTCACAAATTAGTGTTCATCTTTTTATATGGCTGTTCCTCCGTGAGCCTGAAAATCATCCATTGTTCCAGGAATTCTGTCTGCTCTAAGTGGGGTTTGAGACATATGTTATTTCTTAGTTGTATTAATCATCGGAACATGAGCATTATCGTTATTATAATTAAAAACACGATAATATTAGGAAACCTTTCCAATCTTGAATATTTAAATATTATTTCATAAATTCTCAATAATGAAAATGATTTTGATTTGACTTTATACACTTTCGGAGTTGACTGTTGTTGCCTTGAAATTTATGAGCCAATTTAAATAAATAAAATAGGCACATAATAATTCCTAATTTAAAAAAAAAACGTATGTTGTACTTATGTATACGCGTTAGAAGTTATACTTCTTTGGCGTAACAAGATAAAATTATTTTCAAGGAAAGACCCTTTATTCTACTTATAGAAAAACACCTCTACAGGAAAAAATTGACTCTCATAGAATAACGCACCAAAAGACTTACAAGAATATTCCGGTGCGGTGTTGCCGCATCGAAAATTGACTCTCATCATTTTTCTCTAACGCGCCAAAAGAAGTATAACTTAAAAAATTCTACCTGACCTCAGTTTGGTGCCGAGACAGGTCAATATTTATTAACTCTCTTAATAATTACAAAAATCTTTACTATTTGAGCAAAATATACAGTAGGGGTCGGTATTATGGCAGATCCGCGGGATTTCCAATAAGGTGCAGGGTAATAGCGTCGCACGCTCGGCGGGAGCACATTAGCAAGTCAATGCGGTCCCGGGATCAAGTCGTCACGGCAAGTTGGGGTCGCCACTTGATGCCTTCTGATTTATTGCGCCCTCTACTTTCAATTTAGCTTCGTGATATTAAACGCATATTTAAATTTCATCATGTGATGATGACATATTTTATGCTTCGCTACTTATTTAATCATTATTTTTAAGGAATGACCGACTACAAAAAATACTTATACGTATTATAGAATTATGTTAGTTCAAGAAGAAATGCTCATCTACGAATAAAAAAACAGGGGTAAATCTAGTGGGTTGTAAAACTACGTGTTGCAGGATTTAATATCGCGACTAAATAAGAAACTTAAATAGTTAGAGATTCGTTTGGCGATTTGGTCTACGGATAGGTGAATGTTGGAGGGCGTTGGAACGAGATATAGTACCACTTCTCAAACTTACTGCAGATGAATAAACATTGGAATGCGGAGCCGGTACCTGTCGCTAGTGCCTGTGGAGTTTGGGGGGACCGCCCCTCCTATTGTCGACTGGCTAAAAGAATCTTTATAAAATTAGAGTATTTAATCGAATGACTTACGAAATAAATTAATTATCTATAATAAATAAGGTAATCGTGATAGTAGAATTGATTAAACTATTCTTCTCCTTGGAATTAATATCTTAGCTGCACTTTGTAAGCTTTCAAGAAATTTACATTAACTATTCTACATTTATTACTCTTTTATCATTAGGCGTCTACTTGGTGACTGTTTTCTGTTACAACGGAGGCATGGGAATTCACGAGAGAGGTCCCGCTTTCCCGAAATTGTCATAAAGTCTGAGATCTTAAGATGGTGGAGGTCCAGCTACGTGGGTCCGGCTGGTGCACAAGGCGGAGCCAAGTTTGACCGCCCCGCCCATGGTCGTCTGGCTAAATGAGTCCTCATAAAAGTCTGGTAGACTTAAGTCTCAAGAATATAGCTTCCGAAATAATTTTGATTTAATAATGAGATAATGTGAACTATAAGGGTTACACTGAGTCGTTTCAATAGCATCTCGGAAAAAAAAATATCTTAGCTGCACTTTCTAAAGTACAGAAAATGGATTATATTTTTACTAATCTTTTTATTATTAGGCGTTGCTACTTAGTACTGTTTTCTGTTACAACATTATGTACATTATAATCCACGAGAAACGTCTACTAGCCCTGTAAATCTGTGTCACTTTAAATACAGAAACACTGTGCATTTTACGAACGTCTACTAGATAGCTAGCCGACTAGGGTACAATCTTATATTAAAAATAATCTATATTTGAGAACAAAGGCGGAGATTGCCTAAGCCCGCGAGTCCTACGTCCAGCTGAAAGTCTGTACGACTTAAGTCTCACAAATACTTATATTAAATATATCTTTTCATTTGATAGACAAAGGCGGATTACCTAAAGTCGCGAGTACGGACGCTCTCACAGCTAAGGAATCTACTATCTAAGCGACGAGAATCTTATATTAAAATTAATCTATATTTGACAACAAAGCCTTGCGGATTACCTAAAGTCCGTACGTCCAGCTAAATTATGTACTACTAAACCTACAAAATCTTATACTAAAATAATCTTATTTGAGAACAAAGGCGGATTACCTAAAGTGCGCGAGTACGTACGTCCACTAAGGTATCTACTACTAAGCTACAAATCTTATATTAAAAATAATCTATATTTGAGAACAAAGGCGGATTACCTAAAGTCGCGAGTACGTACGTCCAGCTAAGGTATCTACTACTAAGCTACAAATCTTATATTAAAAATAATCTATATTTGACAACAAAGGCGGATTACCTAAAGTCGCGAGTACGTACGTCCAGCTAAGGTATCTACTACTAAGCTACAAATCTTATATTAAAAATAATCTATATTTGACAACAAAGGCGGATTACCTAAAGTCGCGAGTACGTACGTCCAGCTAAGGTATCTACTACTAAGCTACAAATCTTATATTAAAAATAATCTATATTTGACAACAAAGGCGGATTACCTAAAGTCGCGAGTACGTACGTCCAGCTAAGGTATCTACTACTAAGCTACAAATCTTATATTAAAAATAATCTATATTTGACAACAAAGGCGGATTACCTAAAGTCGCGAGTACGTACGTCCAGCTAAGGTATCTACTACTAAGCTACAAATCTTATATTAAAAATAATCTATATTTGACAACAAAGGCGGATTACCTAAAGTCGCGAGTACGTACGTCCAGCTAAGGTATCTACTACTAAGCTACAAATCTTTTATTTAAAAATAATCGATATTTGAGCAAAGACGGATTACCTAAAGTCGCGATCAGTGTGTGACTTAAACTACGAATGTTTTTCCAAGAAGAGCTGTCTGCGGTTAAAATAATTTACATCCTGACCTTGAGCTTCCATTAACGACGCTCTTACTGAAATGACGGCTAGTTATTAATTTATATAATAACAATAGTTTAATTTGGTTCTAGAAATCGGGATTAATGTTACAAATCTTCGACACATGGATTTTTTGAAATCGTTCTCCCTAAAATTAATAACACATAGTTTTGTACTAAATTATTATATATTTTTTACAGTATGTAATATCTAAAATAAAGAAACCCCAGTGGCGTCAAAGTCCCGACATTACTGAGTCAATAAAGCTACCACATGCTGAGAGATCACAGTTTTCTCCCTTCTTTGATTCACTGATCTACCTATAAATAATCATAATATATTTAATCAAATACAATTGCATAATAAGCGCCGCATTGAAAGCTGTATTCTAGGTAGGGTAATATATTATTAATAAAGATTATATTTTTAAAACAGACCAAAGTGATTGGACACTACAGCTATGGAACACAAATTTCACACCAACATAAATACATGACAACCAAGTGTATTTCTTTATTTTTAAAAAGACATCAAATATTTCCCAGCTAGAAACAGTTTCAATGTATGTTTCTACCGTTTAAAAACCAAATCGATCCAGCCATTCTCGAGTTTTAGCGAGACAAACGAAGAGCAATTCATTTATATATATATAAAATAAGCTGAAATGGTAAAATACAAGTTATCTGAAGTTATTAAATAGAATCTAATTCACTAAACGGTACCTAAAAGCTTTTCAAGGTAAACTTAGGTCTATCTTGATCTTTACCTTTTTACACGCTTTATATAGGGTCTTTCAATAGGGACTTCCGAACTTTTACAGTTGATAGCGGCCATCTTGTTGAAGCTACATCTGTCAAATTGGCTGTCATTTATTCAGTCTGTTTTGCCAAATCACCATGGATGGATCACCGTTCAACAACACGTGCAAATGATAAAATTGTTTTATCAAAATGGGTGTTCTGTTCGGGCAACGTTCCGCGCTTCGCCCATTTTACGGGCGCCATAATCGTCCTACCGAGAGGACTATTGGCAGTGTGGTGGATAAATTTGAGTCCACTGGTTCAGTAAACGATCAACCAACACCCGTACGTCGACGAAACGCAAGATCTACCGAAAACATCACCGCTGTCCGTGAGAGCATGCAGGAGAATCCGAGGCAGTCGATTTCGCGTCGCTCACAAGAACTCGGCCTTTCATAGACCACAACTTGGCGAATTTTGCGTCGTGACTTGGGCCTGCACCCGTACAAAATTCAACTGACCCAGGAGCTGAAGGTAAACGACCATAAACAATGCCATCGGTCAAATTCAGCCTGATTTATGCACCAGCGTCATGGAAAATTGGACATTTTGGATGCGCGCCACCCAGAGAAGCCGGGGCGGACATTTGAACGATGTTATATTCCACACATAATGGCATCGATAGGCCTTTCAAACGAATAAAAATTTTTGATGATATCTAACACAAATTTTGTTTTATTTAAATTTGAAGATAGGAAGCCCTTAATGAAAGACCCTTTATTAGCTTCACCTGTATGTATGTATGTATGTATGTAACCGACTCCTTCAGACTCGATTTTGACCCACTTTTAACGGACAGATTTAATTCAAACTTTGCGCACCTGTCAAAGATCGATGACAATGCAATAATCCGAAAAATGAAAAAAATAAAACAATAAAAAAATAGTTTAAAAAAACTAAAAAACACGCTTTTAAAGCACATCAAACCAAAAAGTGAAAATCACTTGCTTTGTGCCATATTTTTCGTCTATCGAGCAACCCACTCTTTTTCACAATAATACCAGTATTTTTTGTTCATTACCATTTTCAGCCTAAATTAGGAATTATTTTTCACTTTTTGGTTTGATGTGCTTTAAAAGCGTGTTTTTTAGTTTTTTTTAAACTATTTTTATTATATTTATAAAGTATCATACGTCATCGCAGCTGTCACAGGATTTAAATAAAAATTTTCATTTAAATAACATTTTTCAGTCATGAATACTATTAAGATATCATTTAATACCAGTTATTTACCATACAGTGTTATTATAATCCTCATAAGCTCTCAAGTCAAGTGAAGGACCAAAAGTGTACGCGTTAATCTAGTGGGAGGGGTGTGGGGTGGTTGAGAGGCGGGCCTTGCGGAAACCGTGAGACACTCACTCACTTCCGGTCCTCCATCCGGACGTAAGGCTCTACATCCGACTCTTAAATTACTTGCATTCTAAAATAATGTTTTTACGTATTTTTGGCCCCAGTGATGTACTCTATTTTCATGACTGATTAATGTTATTTGTTTAAATACAATTATTAAATAAGTGTTAGTATATTGTTACAAGAATAAGCAAAAGACATGTGGTTAAATAAAATGTGATGCTGTGGCTTAGCCCAAGTGAACATCGTCGGTTGCAGCAACTCTATCAAGGTGCCAAGTTTTATTACGATAAGAAATGTTTATTAATTAATGACAAATTTTGTTAGCAAAGTTAAATATAAAGAAAGGACTAAAGTTGCTAACACAACATAATTGTATAAAATGAAATTTCCAGTCTTGCTATGTATGTCTATATAATCTACCTATTTAATTATCTGTTTATTTTCAATATTATGTGTAATATAGTATTTTTATTACTACATCAAGTAATATTCGTATCTAATAAACCTTTCCCCTACAAACACTGTATTTATTATGAGTTCTAAAAAGGGACAATGTCACGATAGTCTAGTGTAGTTTTTTTAAAAGAATTACGTTTATTTATAATTTTTAAACATAACTATTCAACTAAAGACAAAAATATTGTTCCAACAGATCCCTACGCGGCGCTAGGCGGGCGGGCGAGCGGCGGGCAAGTGCAACTGTGGCAGTTCTTACTTGAAGAATTGGCGGCGGGTTCACCTGGTATTTGCTGGGAGGTATGTCTGGTTGTAGGTTAATAACAAGCGTCTATTTAATTTTCGATATTAATGTTAAAACCTTGTCATTCAGGGTCCCCCGGGTGAGGGAGAGTTTCGTCTTTCGGATCCCGAAGAAGTGGCCCGACGGTGGGGACGCCGCAAACAGAAACCTAATATGAACTATGACAAATTATCTCGCGCTCTTCGCTACTATTACGACAAGAACATCATGGGGAAGGTAAAGACAGCTTTTTTACCCTGGAGTATTTCCTATTTGGCTATTTATTTATATCATCTTCGTACTAAAAATACTTTACCTTGGCTAATTCAGAACATTATTACCAGGTCCCCGGTAAGAGATATGCGTACAAGTTTTGTTGGGCGGGCTTGGCCGCAGCCTGCCAGTCCCAGACGGATGCTCCCTATTGGCCATACCTTCCTCCTCATCCACATCACTCTACAAACTGACAATTTTCAGTATTAAAAAATTGTAAAGCACAATGCTCGTGCTCCTTTTAACTGGAAATTACGCACTTCATGAGATCACCAACCAGTCGAAATGAATACAATAATTTAATAAATATTTTACTGATTTTACAATAAGTACACTTGCAGTATTGTTAATTTCGGTAGGTATCTACTGAGTTAAATGGCTACCTACAATTACCTATTTGTTAATAAACAAAATAATTTTGATCTTGTTATGCTTTTGTTTTGTTTTTATTATTATATTTTTATAGAATAATGTTACAGACAATTATCGTTGACGTTGGAAGTGTTACTAAGTTCAAACTTATAGCTATTGATACGAAATATAAATAAAGTTCCTCTTTGTCATAAAATGCATTTTATTTTATAAAAATATAGAAAAGTCATAACTATCCCGACATGTTGCAGGATAATATGCGGTTAATAACTTAAAAATTTAGTTAAATTTATCAAGTATTTGAAGCTTAGCCCTTACGCTTGGGTATATTTAATGAACTTGCAATAAATCATTTTGTTACCTCTTTTGGACGTGTGTCTTGAACTAGAGTAGTGCCGAACTTACGTTTAGGTCTAATGAATGTTTGTATAAAGCTTTTGTTTTTGATTAAAATTACAAAAATATTCTGTACACAAATATTGATTTCGCCTGATATTTTAGACGCGGCAATCGAAAAAATCTTTTGTCTTCCCAAGGCGAACAAATAAGGAAAATAAGACTCAAAATATGTCTTATTTTTCTTATTTGTTCGCCTGAAATGGAATATTAAAAACCCTTTCTTCCTAAACAAAGTCGCACGTTTTAATGCACTGTCAATAAATTTATAAAGCAGTTTACAAATAACTTTATAAACTAGAGATTTCAAAACACTTGTGATTGAACAAAATACTTTGTCTCGATTTTTTAACACACTACTTACTTACATAATATAACAGTTTCCTTAACTACTATCTAATTGAAATTACTCAAGAAAGTATGAGTTATAAAGGAAAACACTAAGTAGAAACAAGAAAGTATCTTTTAACCGAACACTATATAGACAATGTGATTTGGATTTTGAAGCATTGAATCTGTGAAGGTTTTAGTACCTAATATGTTTAATAACTGAATAATATTGTGGTGCTGTTTCTGAACTATTTTTCTAGTTGAAGGCCTGCGAAATGAGCAGCGTGTAGCGACCTTGCGGCGCCGGACGCTGCTTCTGATACTGCGCCCACGCAATGTTCATTATAGATGGTTCACAAACTTTTAGTGCCATATTTATTATTAAAATTATAATGGCTTGTGTCAAAAGTTAGTAAAGTTGCGAAAAACATTTTGTTGAACGGACTTTTATAAAATAAACGGGGCTAATGACGTGAAGTACTTCTACGTAGGTTGTTGAAATTGTTACATTAAGCACTGTTTTTTAAGTGTATCCAAAGAGTGACCACAGGTTATGTAATTATTATTAAACAAGAGAATATAGATACGCTGGACATGTTGAGAGCTTATGGTAAGCGCGAACACGAGAGACCTCAGTTGAAACAAAATGTCCGCCGCGCACATTGCGTTACTAGTTGCAACCCTTCTGCTCTTTGGTAATTATAACTCCATATTTATTTAACTGAAACTAATGGAATATAACTTCCATTCTTATGGAAGTTTAATTATATTCCTAACCTAAGAAAATTAAACACGTGCATGCCCTACATACCTAACTATATTTCTTGTTTATTCAATAAAAGTCTATTTTCAAAGACGCAACCCTTTGACTTTTGAGGTGATCTTAGTTAAATTGAAATGAGTGTTTCTAGGAAGCAAGAGGGGTTGGTGTGGATGTACCAATATGACATCCTTTTCCTCCCAATTGGACATACTACTTGCTGAATATGATCGGGAAGTAGCACCAGAGGGGCAGGTGCTAGTTGAGACAGCGTTAGACGTGCGCCACGCGGCAGTCTACGAGCGTAGCGCCACCGTGCGGTTGCTAGCGGACTTACATTTGGTAAGCTATCAGGCCTAACAGTTGTTATGGTTGAAATCGTTAATTATACCAAAAAATACACCAATACGATATTATTCTAACTAATATAATATGCCTAACACTGCTATATTGACCTTTTTTGTCGGTTTTTAAATTAATTGTAAAAATTGTGTCTTAGTTATATTAGGTACCTGGTCTAATTTTATTTATCCTAAATACTTTTATTATAATGCGAAGTACTCGCTAAGCGATGCCTACATTGTTATTATCAGTATACCCATAACCATTGTGGGGAAGATTAATTCATTATATCTTCAATTTTCCTGTGTCTCTATTATTTTATAGCCATATATGTACAAGAATAATCTATACCAACCTTCCTTTGACATCATGGTATTGACATCAAGACATCATTACTCAGAGGTTTGATGTTTATCGGTATGTAGTCGTACCTACAGCAAAGCAAGTGATATAATCTTATAACTAGAGAGCCATGCCCAAAATAAAGAAAAACATAAATGTCTGTATCGAGTCATTAATATTCGTACGTATTGTAGAATTGGAATGACAAGCGAATAAATTGGAACGCTACGGATTGGGGATGTGACAGCGCACTGGTTGGCGCTAGTCGATTGTGGGTCCCGGATGTGGGGGTATTAAGCGTAGCCACACTGGGTACTGAAGGTGACACCAGCCTCCGTGCTCGTCTTTCCAGCGACGGTCATATCTATTGGATTCTACGCCTTGACATTATTGCCCCACTCACTCTGCAACTCACGGACTGGCCCCAGGACCAGCAAGAAGTTGACTTCAAATTCGGCTCCAGATCGCATTCTTCAGATGAGATGCTGCTTACTTTAAGTGACCTACAGGTCAGTTTATTAATATTGAAGCTAATTGATAATCTATAGAGCTGTGACATTTCACCGTATGTTCTATTGACCGATCACTTGCTCTTTCTATCTGTAATGTTATTTCGCTGGGAATTGGTCCTAGGAGTCCGCGTAAACACATTACGCGTTATATAAGCTGGGACCATGAACGGCATTGATGAAGAATTCATAGGTATATTAAAAAAACCTTTAAAATTTCATAATATGTTCACACCCTTACTAAAAGGGAAGTGAGTAAGGATCACGCATCGGCATTCGCGCAAACTGTTTCTACAGTGTGTCTCTGCCCACTTATCTTGTAACGCACTTTTTACTACAGTGCAAGTGCGGAAACGCTGTGACAAGAGTGCAAAGAATGTATTAAATATCATAAATTCCACGGTTTTCAGCACGCGACTGTGTTTGAGTCTGGCACATGGGAGTTGATGCGTGTGAGGGGAGCTGAAACGGAATTGAACAATGGACACTTCCAACGCCGCGTCGTCAAGTGGATATTAGTGTTACGTCGAAGAGCAGCAGCACATACGCTTGCAGTGGGCGCAGTTTTCTCTGGCTCAGTCTTGTTATTACTTGCGGCCACGATGCTGCCCCCTAATACACGACCACCATTATGTGCTGCTTCGGCGGCAATAGCTTCACTTTGGTAAAATCATATTTAATAAGACCATCCCATTAATCAAAAGAAATCAGTTTATTTTATGTAAAGTACTGAGTAGAGTAGAATTGTGTTAAAGCTACAATAAAAAGCGATAAGTCAGCGAAGTGAAATCAATTAATTTTACAGAGATGGGGCAAAATTGTTGGCATGGAAAAATATTGTCATTTAAATATGCATACCTATAGATTTAATTTCTTATCTTAGTAAAATCAATCAAATATATTGTAAACCAATCTTATATTTTTAAGTTTATCAGTTAATAGTCATCTATTATTTATTTCATAATAAAAAAAAAATTAAACCAATTTCTAGCCGTTATATTCAATGTATTAAAACTTGCAATTATGTTACGTAAGAATGACTAAGATTCTTTCTGTTCTATTAAATTATTGCAGGTTGATATCTGCGCTAGTGCGAATACCAGGGGGGGCGTCGACCCCTCGCGCCATGTCTCTTTTGAGTGGTACATGCATCTGCGGCGCTATAGCGGCTGCTAGCGCGGCTGTTGTTTTACGTGTTTCTCGCTGCGTCACACCACCCCCCAATATTCTAAGGACCCTTGTCACGACTGCCTCTACGTTTATCACACTCACACCACCTGAGGTATGCACGGTCGTTTTAGTAGAGGCTGTTTACTGCATCTATATTCTATAGAAAGATTTAATCAACTATTAAGTTTTTGCTGAGGTTCTGAGGTAAGATATATGTAGCCAAACATTTTATGAAGTGACCAATAATTCTATAAGAGACACACATACAGGTTCACTCAAGGAGGCAAGAAATATTGATATGCGGTATAAACTTTTATTTAAACTCCTAATTTTTTACAAAGAGCTATGTTGTAATTGCATTTGTGCTTAAGATAAAATTATAAGCTAATTCTTTTTTAAAAATAGTGTAAATATGTTATGCAGGGGGGAGAGGCGGAATGCAGCGCATGGGCGGCGGCCGCGCGGCTCTTGGACCTGTTGATACAGGCTTTGCTGATCTTTACACTCTTCGTGCTGCTATGTGTCTATATCTAATGCTGCTTTTATCTGTATAGATATTTTTGGGAACAATATTGTTAACTTGTATTGTAAATATAAACAGTTATGTTTATTCTTTCTAGTTAAACTAGTTTTAATGATTAAATTGCAAATGCATTAGCGAAATATAAGATATAAAAGAACGAAAGATAAGATTTTTTTTCACGACCGACGAATTCTCAATACTTCAAGAGTTTTTGATCGTTCTGAACTCATGCTCTTCGCCAAAAAAATTGTCTTTCTCATCGCAATTATGACTTGCTTAAGTTGTTTACTAGTAGAATAAAATTGTAAATAAACACAAGCAGAAATGTAAAGGACTTATCCTTAGGGTTGAAGCGCCATTGGATTAATTTTATGTAAGGACCTACGTGTGGAGTTAAAAGTTGTGTCGCCGTTTGACAGAGTGCGTAAGTATTTCAGCGAGCAGTAATAATAGGGCAGCACCGGCGCCAGCGAGTAGTGCGTGAAGCGCGGGCAACACGTCACCGAGGCCGACGCTAACGAACCCGCCTCCGCCCGCTTCGCAACGGACGCGTCGGACCATCCACATACGCCGCGCTCGTTCTGTTAGGCCCGCCTCACGTTGCCACCGCAGTCTGATATATTTTAATTCTTCATTAATATTTGTTTAATTTCATTGTTTCCTCTTTAATAAACGGTAAATTCCCTCGCCGAGCAGTTGAGTGTTGTTCCCGGGAGAGATGTTGTCAGGAGTCTTTAATACGCAAAAGTTGTATTTAAGTAACGTGATACCATACTTTCTAATTTAATTGGGATTTTTAAGAGATCAATTGTAAATAAATAAAGCGTACCAAAACACTTTATATATCGATGTGTTTTGTGTGCCGTACTGAATTAAATTGAATAAATATTTGACAAACCTATGATGTATACAATTTAACGTCTTCGTGGCATCAATTAATGCAAACAATGATTCCAAAGACCGACACGACCAAATCGACGAAAAAACGGGTTTATCTCTGTAAATTGTACCTACAGTTGCCTTCTGCACCATTAGTGCATTTACGAGATTTTCATCTTTTTATTTTTATGGCTCTGGCACGGTTTGTGCATTAGGCAGCGTCAAGTATAAGATTTTTATAATTCGAGTTTGCCTTAGAAATTCGACCGTGTCCTCCATGTACGGTTTAAGCACTCGCCCGGTACCGCACAACCCTCCCAAAGGCCGAGAACAAATTTAAATTAAATCTTGCCCTCGAACCGGGAATTGAACCCGGTACCCCTCACTAGCTGCCACTTAATAAGACCGCTAGGCTATGAGGCTCTTGATTTTCATCTTAAGTATAAGTATTTTTTGTTACCAGCCAGTATATATAAAAAAAATACCTCACAGCAAAGAGGTCTCTATAGCCTGAGTGTTTACGAATTGGCACGGAAACCATGGGCAGCTTGAAGGCCTGGATCTCCTTTAGGCCACATTTTTCGCGCTCCGTATATGTGCTGCTGATGACGCCGTAACCAGAATTCAGCTCAACCTTAAAATACAATTTCTAGCCTTAGGTACGACTCTTTACTAAATTGTTTTTTTTAAATTAATGGCTGCTCATTACTATGTACTTAGTTTTTATAATTATTTATTACTTATTACTTATTACTTATTACTTATTACTTATTACTTATTACTTATTACTTATTACTTATTACTTATTACTTATTACTTATTACTTATTACTTATTACTTATTACTTATTACTTATTACTTATTACTTATTACTTATTACTTATTACTTATTACTTATTACTTATTACTTATTACTTATTACTTATTACTTATTACTTATTACTTATTACTTATTACTTATTATTTATTATTAATTACTTATTACTTATTATTTATTATTTATTATTTATTATTTATTATTTATTATTTATTATTTATTATTTATTATTTATTATTTATTATTTATTATTTATTATTTATTATTTATTATTTATTATTTATTATTTATTATTTATTATTTATTATTTATTATTTATTATTTATTATTTATTATTTATTATTTATTATTTATTATTTATTATTTATTATTTATTATTTATTATTTATTATTTATTATTTATTATTTATTATTTATTATTTATTATTTATTATTTATTATTTATTATTTATTATTTATTATTTATTATTTATTATTTATTATTTATTATTTATTATTTATTATTTATTATTTATTATTTATTATTTATTATTTATTATTTATTATTTATTATTTATTATTTATTATTTATTATTTATTATTTATTATTTATTATTTATTATTTATTATTTATTATTTATTATTTATTATTTATTATTTATTATTTATTATTTATTATTTATTATTTATTATTTATTATTTATTATTTATTATTTATTATTTATTATTTATTATTTATTATTTATTATTTATTATTTATTATTTATTATTTATTATTTATTATTTATTATTTATTATTTATTATTTATTATTTATTATTTATTATTTATTATTTATTATTTATTATTTATTATTTATTATTTATTATTTATTATTTATTATTTATTATTCGACACTTAATATTTTAATGACGATTAAATTCATTAAATTCCTAACATATCTTCCTTTTTCCGTCCCTGTAAGTATCGGAAATCTAAACTTTTAGATTTGTATAAATATGAACAACACTTAAAGATTAGTTTGCCACTGAAGTTTCACTTCTGACATGTGTACTTTGTACACACACACTTTTTTATGTACTAGCGTCCCCATCCCGGCTTCGCTCGGGTAGACATTTATTTTTATACACCTTGGATACCATTATTGTAGTTTTAGTAGGGATCCTTATTTTTTCTTATAATTAAAATAAGCCTTTATTAATCAGTGATAATGTAGTATTCAAATGGTGAAAGAATTTTCAAAATCGGTCCAGTACTTTTTTAGCCAATTCGTTACAAACATATTTACATACAAATCTTTTCCTTTAAAATATTAGTATAGATTAACATTTACCTCATTAAACATAAATATATATGTTTTGCAAAATACTGTGGGTACATCAAATTCTATGACTACTTTTTATGTCACCCTTACTGATCTACACATCCGCTTACATCATAGTAGCCTAAGCTTATGTAGTGTGTACCTGGAAGGCGAATAAGCCAGTGCGCACACGTGCAATACCATCCCACACACTGAGATAGGCATGTTCGCCTTGTGGCTGCAATTTGCGTTTGTACAGCCGCTGGGTTGCCGGGTCCGTGCTCTCCTGGGATATATCATATTTTCGATTCATCAAACAGCTGGGAACTTAACATTATAGATATATACCTAATCATACACACACATTAATTAATAAGATAATGGAAATTGCAAATACATCAATTTTTGTATGTCTGATAACATTTCTTAAAGCCTGAACTAATTTCATAGCAAATTTGATTTTAGACACTTACCAGTAAAAATTTAAAGAAAACGCTTTTTACCGGATTGAAGTTATGTCTCCTCCTTCAATTAGCTCCTGGCTGGCTGTTAAATAATTATAAGTTTATAATAATACATAACTTCAATCCGGTAAAAAAGCGTTTTCTTTAAATGTATAAAAGTTATGTTAATAAAAGACAACATTTACCAGTATTTTATTATACTTTTTACGATAAATAAATAGCATACCGCGAAGTAGACCTCCTTATATGTTGTGTCTTGAACCCCTAGAATCATTGGTGAGTGTGTGAGATCATCAATGGTCTGTATAGCATCGCTGGGCGCCTGTAGGATTGACACGATCTTGGCCGAGTATGATGTAAACGCAAACACAGAAGATAACAGCATGAAGAGCATTAGGATGCGTGCTGATATTATCTTTGGAGAGATGTCTGAACCTGGGGGTACAAGCATATTAGCAATTAATGGCTCATACGTTTAATTAGTACAAAATAATTTAAATATAGTATAAAACATTTATATTTGAAGTTCAAATTTCAGCTAAATAATATCTCATATGATAAATGATGATTGCCATAATTTTACGAGTTCAAAATACTGGAACTGAAATCGCTGAAGAGCTTTTATATATTTTATACAAATATACCATACATAACCCAATGAGACATTAAACAAGTATATGTATTTTAATACTAACTTTTATTTTAAAAAAATACATAGCTTTCGACATGTTCCTAATGTTTATTTCGAAAATGACAACCGCAGCTACCACAGTTTGAAAAGTGTTATTGTACCCTGTTGACAAGCAGATCCAATGGCGAAAGTGAAGGTTTCTGATAGCGTAAGCCGTTCTGCAGTATCATCAGGAAGCTGACGACGCCGTGCTACGTATCCCAATACCGCTAAAAGTACACCACCACCGGCAAAAGCCGCGCCTACCGCTGCCCATACGCCGCCGCTAAATGGAAGCAGGAACACGTTAGACACGGCCGACTGCGATGGTTGACGGAATATGAAGGCACCGCTGAAAACCATTTAAGATATAATAAAATTTTGCGCCTGGCTAAAAAGTAATTACAATAAAAATTCAGGCGCCGACTTTTTGAGTCAATTTTAATTAGCTCCATTAGATAAGCCATGGCGGGTTTTACGTTGTGAAAATTTTATAATAATATACAAAATAAATTTTAATTGATAGTAATCGTATACAGTAGTGACGACAAATCTTCTGCATGCATGCAGTGTGTATGCAGTTCGTAACTAAGTAATGTTTACGATGGGATATACAAATTAACAAAGGAAATGCACGCCTTTGTTTATTTATTTATTTACACGTCGATATATTAATAAAGAAAAACAAATATATATAAATATTATAAGGGAGGCAACGGGCGGCCTTATCGCTAATAAGCGATCTCTTCCAGGCAACTAAAAACTAAATATTCATAAAAAAAAACTAAAAACTAATCTGACGGATTCATAAATGGCGATGCAATACAAACGAAAAGGAAATACTAGAATTACAAAAGTCACAATTGATCAGGATAGGCTATGGTTAAGAAATGTTCATGCAGAAGAGTTTTAAAAGATGTTAGGAAGGTAGCTAATCGTATGGGCAGCCTTTTCCATAACTAAATATCGGAGTTCCTAAATAAATTGCCTAAGAAAGATGAGCTGTGAGATGGAATTTCCATCGCATCTATTGGAGGAGAGAAACATATAGTTATAAGAGAACTTGAAATGATTTTTAAGATAACAGGGAGTTTTGGGATTGAAAAGAATTGAGTATAGAAGTTTATGTCATGTTTTTAGAGCCAATTCAACATAGTTCAATGGTAGAAATGTCGGAGCTATTAGTAGGTACCATTCATTTCTCATTCATTCAGTAATTCATTTTATTCAATTAAAGGCAACAGGTCAAAAATATCACAGTTCTTTCATAAAGACAAACCAACGGTCATGAATAAATTTACTTACACTAGTTCCACCGTCTCAGAACAATAGTGCAGCACGTTCCATCGGTCGCGCCGCAGAAACATGGAAGCTACACCCACCTCCACCTCCTCTCTCTGCAATAGTCCAGCCAGACCAGTGAACGACCCGTTCTGCTGTTCGCCGTACAACTCGACTTGTTTCATATTGTATCTGTAAACAATACATTTTAAACATCAATTCATCCAGGTCAAATTATCCGTCGATGACAGATGGAAACAATACCAGAGGGCGTTTTAAGGAATTGGTACAATCTTTTCTTTAAAGAGCAAAAAAAAATAAGCGAGTGACATAACCATTACTGAAGAATACGGACGTGATAAATATTACGCTAATCGTGTTGTATAGAGCAGTGTTGGCCTAGTGGGTTCAGCGTGCGACCCTTATACCTGAGGGCGTAGGTTCGGTCCCCGGCTGTGCACCAATGGACTTTCTTTCTATGTGTGCATTTAATATTTGCGGTGAAGGAAAACATCGTGAGGAAACCGACATTTAGACCCAAAAAGTCGACGGCGTGTGTCAGGCACTGAAGGCTGATCACCTATTTACCTATTAGATTTAAAAATGATCATGAAACAGATTCAGAAATCTGAGGCCAAGACCTAGAAGTTGTAGCGCCACTGATAATCGTGTTGTATCTGATAATACCGTGGGATTACTAACGAGACGTCAGCTCCCGAAGAGAAGACAATCCTATGACCTATCACACCAGCCTAATGGGAAACTTGTATTTGTAAACAAATAAAAAATCTTTTGAAAAACCTTCTGCCCGGGTCGCAAATATAACTCGCGGTAAAAAAACTTCTTTGTAAACACTCAGTAGTTGAATGGGAATAAAATAAATGATATAGTTACCTGAAATTGAGATCCTCAGCTAACAGCATCATTAGAGGATAAGTAAGTTTTGGAAACGTATCAATTTGGCGATCATTGAGATCTGACCAACCTTTGAAATGTTGCGGCTGACTTATCTGAAGGAAATAAAATTAATTAACATTTGAACCTGTAGGTAGTGTGATTCATACCTGAAGGTACATATCTAAGTATCGTTTTTGTGACCGTGTCTAACTTATAATAAGGAACCTTAATTGAATAGTTATAAAGAATGGCACTTACAATAGTAGCTGATTTTAGATAGATGCGGCCTAAATTCTTTCTCCTTTTTACGGCTGTGGGGATTGTGGCCCATAATCTATTCAAGTTCTCCGAATTGGTATAACCACCACCGATATCCAACACAGTGATAGGTAGTTCAATCGCTACCCGATACACATCTAACATTTTCTCTGGAAAAGCTACCACGACATCTGCATCTGGCAGGATGACCGTGTCTTGAAGGACATCACCTAAGTCAGTATCGTTGGAGAGAATGTCGGGCAGTAAGAGCCATGAATGCCGGTGATTAAAAGCGCGACTAACCGACGCCTGAAATTATCAATCAGCATTTATTTACAAGGCATTTACTAACATTTCAAGTTATTCGTTCTCAGTCTATATTTATATTTTACTACTTTAGCTGTATGTAAAGATTAAGTAATAAATTCACTTCAATGTAATACTATTATTTTGTAGACTTTAAATGTATTAATTTATTCATTTTACAGCATTGCACGAGGTCGGTACAGCCATTAAATAGCGATCACAAAACATTTATTTAATCAAACTCGAGTTAATAAGAAACTATAATTTATTGAAATCTGCGGCGTAGTACAACAAATTACCAATTACTGTAGATATAAATAAATTATAGAAAACACACTACAAACAATTATCAATTACTGTAACAGATTATGAAATATTTAGTTATTGAATACATATATTATTCAAATAATGAATAACTATAATAGTATTTCTTCAAAGTCAAAGATATCCATAAAATCACATATGATATAGGTATTACATGCGTTATACATCTGTTAGATGTCTAATTATATAATTAACGTGAACGAAAAATTATAGGTACCCACTTAATAATTTTTGTTACAATAAAAATGGTATTGTCATAATAAAAAAAGGAGATTCAAGAGCTGTTAGATAGGATATGGAAGTTCTGTCAGATAAAACTGAACAAAAGTTAGTCATATTCACAGGGGTTTTTTATTATGGTAATATTGCAATGCGCCATGTCTTGGCAAAGCTCAAGTCATTTTGTTTTCAATTTGGGTTTTTATTAATAAACTGTTTTTCTTCTATGTGTGAACTCCTTAATTACTTCTAGTTACACTACTTATGAATAAGAGACTTATGGCTATAAACCTTGTTTAGAATCAGATGAGCATGAGGGCAGCTCAGGTCAAGAACGATGCCCTCGCGGAAGATGTGATAAGCCGGCATATCGGGTAGCACGGAAAATTCGCTAATGTATACCCTTAGGCGATGTCCCGTAGACCTCGTGCGAAATTGTAGATTAAATATGTCATCTACAAGACATATAAATTCATATATTAATATTTTTTTAAATCACAATGACTGATATCTTTACTACGTTGAGTGTTTCGGCATTTAATTTATATATATTTTATTCATCGTCATAGCGACTACCTGGGCTCCAACACAAGAACGCGGTAATCAAAGACAGATTTTTGGACGAAAAATATGCTAATATAAACGAAGATAGATCCATTCTTCAACCGGTAAGTGAAGAGCGCAACTAAATAAGACGTTATTATACTTTTTGTAGATATTTAATAATGAAATGAAAAGTGTTTGTTAAGCAATTTCCTAGACCCTCATTTAATGCTCCATAATTAGGGCATGCAATGCAGCCTACTATAATCAACTATTTGTCCAATTTAAGCATTATGTTATTACTTACAAATCACATTGATTTTGTACCGATCTGATCAAACTAAACGCTAATTTCAACGAGTAACGCTAACTCATATTTCCTTGGACCGTTTGCCGGCAACTTTTCTCGTTGGTTACGCGGCATAAATACGTCATGCGTCATGGAGTAAGGTTACCTGTGTTACGCCACTCAGCCAAAACCTAATAATGATTCTTTTGAACTCACCTAAATTTCAACATTTAATAACTATGATGTTGTAAAAAAATCTTGAAAAAGTTTACTTGCGCCGAGGAATAATATACGTACTTTATACTTAGGGAGCGTTCAAGTATTACGTAACGAATTTGGGGGGGCCCTTTTGTAAAACGTTACGATGCGGGGCGGGGTTATACACCACATAATAGTAACTAAAGAGTCACAAGGCGGTCACGAAACGTTTTACTAGACTTGGGTACAGTACTGTACTTGGGTACTGAAAAACGTTACGGCGAGTTACATGGGGGGGTCAATAATCTCCAAAAATTGCGTTACGTAATACTTGAACGCTCCCTTAGTAGAAATCTCAATATATAGGTACATTAATTTTCCCCGGCATCTAAAGTTTTTAGCGACCATATTGGTTACAGCGCTATAAATAAAACGAAGTTTTACAAGTTACTTTTATACTTCAAGTAGATATTAACAGTTTTTAGACCTATGATCTTGGTAATTAAGATTTAGGTATGTATGTTATACATTGTTTCAATTGCCAAGATTTATACTTAGATGAAATTGCACATAAGTTTATACGGAAAGTAATCTACAAAGAGCAAAAAAATATTTTATAATATAGGTACTTAATATCAATCGTGTGTATACTTGTGGTGGATTTTTCCTATTTGAATTACTACTTGATATTTTAAACAGGCAAAAATATATTTTTATTATTTACTTAAATGTAACTTAAATAATATTTGTCTAGACATAAAAATAACATTACCAAGGTTATTTATGCATTATCAGACATTGATAATGAGGAAATTGTAAGGTGTAATTTGACTTTATTTACGTACAGTAAAACATATATCCAAGTAGGTTCTTCTATATATATGTTAATAAGTTTATTATATTTTCGTACACAGATCTTTAAAATTCTATAATCGCATAGATTGACAGACCTTTCTAACAAACTAATTAGGAAAGTCTTAACTGCTAAACGTAGATTATTATCTATCTCCTCGCGTTACGTGTGTTATGTCGGCATGGGACAGTCCAGTGCCTGCTCGAAGAAGTTGCCAAAGTTGACGACCCAAAACAGGGTGAAGGAGCCCAGCGCTGATCCGAGTTGGCCAATAGTGCCCAGGACCCGCATAGGCTTGGTGCCACCCTCCCGGGCCTTACTATATATCCACATGCGCGAGTACGAAATCAGCGCGTTGGCAACCACCCATACGATTACCTGTTGATGTAGTTTCAAAATTGTACACTGTTTTAGGGGCCGTTCAAGTATTACGTAAGCACAATAGGGGCGAGGGGGTCTTTGAATTGATTATTTGGTGATTACGTCAACAGTAATTACTTATTTACTTATTTACACATATTACCCACTAATTGTTTATGCTTGAAAATGAAATGCATTTTCGAGAATTCCAACAAAAATTTATACGTTTATGTACAATTTTTGAGAGCTTTGCTTACTTTTGCTGACAAGAGGAAGGGAAGTGATATGAATAGAATTTTACCATTTTTTAATATAATTAAACTATTGAACGGATTAATTATCAGGACCTAAGACCTATTAATATATTTGATTTACATTAAACATATAGTCGTTTTCATCACGATATAATATTTAATACAATCAATAAAAAATAAATAAGTTCTAGTAGTCAACATATGGACATATTTCCAATCAAAAATATTTAATAGAGTAGAACTAGAACACATGCGCACATACACACACAACCACGCATGCATAGAATAAGTTCATAGAATCGTCAGAGAAACTATGAGAATTAAATTTTATTAAATTTTTTACCGGCTTTGCTTCTTAGCTGGGTTTTGTTTTGTTTTGTATTCTTTTCTAACAACTGTCTCAATATTGTATAAATAAGGGAAGTGGCGAGCCAACCCCAACACAAGTGTCTCTGACTACTTACGGGGCTGTCTCAACTCATGTATTTAATGTAAAATTTGAGACACAATAAACATTTTCATTTTTTTCAACTAGGTATGCAATACTCACAATAATCACAGCACCACTAGTCTCCTGGTAGAGAGGCGGCGTAGGCGACATGACGGCGGTGACAGTTATGTAGGCAGTGAGCCCAGCGCTGACTACCAGCATCGCTGCAATGTAACGTACACCCGCCATCTTGAACCACACTCCCGCCAGACATGCTACCGGGTTGGCTATGGTACCCAGAGTCACGGCCAGATGAAACGCACGTCTTCCGTACGGCAAACAGGAATATGTTTGTAGCGATGGCATCAAACCGTTGAAGAACATATTAATAACAGCCATCAGAATAAACAACCCCATCCAGTACGACCCCAGCATAGACTCTTGTGATACTTGTTTTTGAGATCCCTCGGCGATCTCAGTGTTTTCCTTCGCCAGTTCTTTTTTTTCATCCTGGGATACTCTTTCGTCTTCGAAACCAGAATAATTGTTAAGAAAGAAGAAACTGATAATACTTGTGACACATAAAGATGCCACTATACAGAAGAACACTGTTGAATCAAAACGGGCAGACGGGTAAATGGCCTCCATCGAGTTACCATCTGATGACAGTCGGCATTCTGGTGGCCCTCCAATACCCTGTATGAGCGAAAGAATCGCCGGTAGCAGCCCACCGAAGCCCTCGCCAACTAAGTACGTAGATAAGTACATTTCTCGGAAGTTTCTCATGTACGGATAAAACACCACGGAACTGGTTGTTCCCACCATAGCAGTGAAAACAGTAAGAACTATAAACGTCACTGACTTCTCTGTAGAACCGACGTATGCAGTTTCTGTATAAAGAAACGCGTTAAGGAAGAGAGCTGTTGTGCCCACTGTCAGCAATCCGTAGATGAACAAAGCGTCAGTGATCTTCGGCAGAAATCTCATTACAAAGGCGTAGATGAGAATACCGCTGTTTGCGATTTGCACGGCCACCGTGACTGATGATCCTAGAGCCCATTGTTCGGGCAATCTCTGGACGAGCTGCGGCAATTGCACAAAGATACCGTTGACTCCGAGCCACGATCCCCAGCCCCATATCAGAAGGGCCAGGTCCAAGGACACGCGCCGACCAAACATGAACATTTTGGCCTTAACGAAAATCACCGACCGTGTCGTGCTTTAAACACTATTAACGACTATATGAGTATCGAAAACGTAACATATTATATAGCTACTTGAAACAAATGGATTACTTAGGCTTTCAATCCAATGATCTTATCAATAATTCGAATTATCTGTCTTATTTGATAATCATTCATCGTTGTGTTCCAAAGTTGCATATACATACATATGTTTACTTAAATATTATGAGAAACAACAGTTCGAACTAATGTATTGTCAATCTTTTATGTACATGTAGGAGCAATGAGCATAGATATATTCTATTACTTTATCTAATTTAATATAAAAGCTATACAAAGACTGTTTGTTCTTCTCCAAGCCTGTCGTGTATATAATCAGCTTGGAACAATTTGCATGGCTCCTAGCAGTCTTTGGAACTAATCACCAATTTGGAACACACTACGAACAACTATATCACGCAGAAACGGATTTAAACATGTAACTTATCACAATTAATATATTTCGTTAAATATTTTGCATTTTTCACCTCGCAATTGTAACGATTACCAGTAAGTATAGTTATATATTATACCCAATAAAACCTATTCCTATTTATTATCAGTGCGGTTTAACATTATCAGAACGGTTTAACACTTTAAATATTATCAGTAATACCTTATTAACAATATCTACTCGCACTAAAATTTACACGTCAACGAGAAAGCGTACCCACAGATTTGCTAAAAAACTCATAGGTACGAAATGTACGATAATCATTTTCAATAGCGTTGAAGCCATCAGGCGAGTGTTCCAACTACGACAGATCAAGCCGATTCTCATATAAAAAACGCCCTACGCGCTCGTCTAGGAGATAAAATTACACTAAAACCTTCAATCTACTTATAGAAAACTTTGTGATTGTTGCCGTAGATAAAGTAGGAAATTAAACTAGCATTATTTAAGGACAGGAAAGCCACGGCATCTTAACTAAATATCGACATTGGAAATACTTCAATAATGTCGTTTACTTTATTAATTAATATATTACAGAAATACATACATTATCCTTACAGACTATGCCAATGCGATAATGTCGAGAAACATTAAATAATATATTATAATAAAGTACATATATAATATTAAACACATAATATACAGAATATCGCTACTGTGAATTCACTATGCGAACATATAAATATGTCGGAGACAGCATTCAGTAGGCGCAACGTCTTTGATAACTGGGATCTGTGCAACAGATGGACAAAGAGGGTAACTAAGTGGAAAGACACACCAGAAAAGAAGAGATGTCGCCCTCTTGCACGGTGGGCTGACGAGCTTATGGAAATTAGTGGAGAAGATTGGGATAAACATGCTCCAGACAAAGAGAAATGGAGATAATTGGAGTAGGCCTATACCTACTCTATAAGAGGTACAAAAATATATATCATTTATTTATATTAAGTGAGTGTATATTTTGTAAATATTACAAGGAAAAAATGAGGCTTAATTATTATTATTATTAACATATTTAATCGAGAGTTTAAGATGGGGATTAATAAAACCACAGAATTTCCTTAAAATAATTATATTCTCTTTGCATCTGAAATCAAATAACAATTGTATATATCCGGCTTACTTCTACTCTCACTGTATTAATGTTACTTTGGAACATTATTACCATAAATATAATTAAATAAACAGTGTCCTATGTATTGTTATCGTCATTTGGAACATTCACTTATAACATATGTAGCATATGTATTTATTAAAACGCTTAACGTTGCTAAGGTAAATTACATTTCATATCGAATTTGCAATTTCCAATAAGAAAAAAACGCATTCACTACGTCTAATTACATTCTTATGAATTATATTTAACCTTCTGATAAGTTCTCCCAATTGGCATTACAATATTTCTACACACAATATGGAGGACAGTAACAGATAAGGGAGCGTTCAAGTATTACGTAACGCAATTTTTGGATTTGCCCCCCGTTACTCGCCATAACGTTTTTCAGTACCCAAGTATAGTAAAATGTTTCGTGACCACCTAGTGACTCTTTAGTTACTATTATGTGGTGTAAATCGAAAAAAAGATTAACAATAACACGTAATTTAATCCCCGCCCCGCATCGTAACGTTTTACAAAAGGCCAAAAAATACGTTACGTAATACCTGAACGCTCCTTAACTGCGCAAGTAAAAAATACGCGTAGTTACAATACAATTAAGTTAAAGATTTTTGCGCTGATACTACTTTATTCCTATTAAATCATTCGGGACATTTCGGTCAAGGTCATACAATATCAACTGTTAAGTACAAATTTGTTTTACACAAATAAAAAGTTATATCAATGTAAACGTATTAGATCTAAGGTTATCATTCAGAGAGATTCAACGCGTACTGCCACTCCCATGTCATGAGAGCGCTAAGTCACGACTCTAAATCTTACCATAAGACTAAATAAAGTTTGTCTTTATTGAAGTCCATTGAATATCTATTCGACTAATAATTATCTAATAAGTCAATCGCTAATTGAGTCCTAAGAAATGCATATTGATAAAACAAAATCTTTACGACTTGGTCTAACAGGCTTTGCCCATATTGTTATATAATCAACGGTAACAATTTAAATGTAGATACATTTAAAGTTGAGTCAATTTAATAATAAATAAAACATACATGTGTTAAACGACAAAGTAATAATAATTAAAAGTTAATTAAAATATTTCTGAAGTCTCTAGCAATGCTGACGCAGTTAAGAAATTGAAAACAATGTACACGAACATGTACACAAAAAAGTCTCACTTACGCGACACCTTTTCGAGACAAACTTAAAAAAATATTTAATACTGCTTCAGCATCCACAATGCGAATGCTCTGTCGACACTGGGCCGACACAATCATATCCACAATAACCACATAACTCTACTTCGAATTAACAGTATTTAAGACATAGTCCTTAAATAACTCAAATTCGTGATGCCGGTGTCGGCAAATCTCCAAAGGAATATTTTTCATCATCCCAGGTTTTGAGATTTCAACAGCCCTCTTGATATAAACGTTAGTTTTAGCTAATTTGTATCACTATATTCGACGAGTAATCGCAATATATATAACGAGAACCATGCACCGAAGGAGAGAAAAGGCACAATTATCGCTAAAGATTAGATAGATTAGAGATAGGCCTATCTTTTAGATAAAATAAACTATAAAAACAAAGAATTTGGGCATATATCAAATAAATAATATCTTACCTACTTAAAAGAATTTCTTGCAAAAAAAATCCTATAGAACGAACAACAATTATAAAAGGCAAATTAATCAACATATATACTTTTTATGCTTGAGACAGTATTCGACACATTTAATGTTTAAATTACGATAAGAGCGGTGTTAGCCGCTGTCATAAGGCAGTATTAATTGGTAGATTCATTTTAATAATATACTACATATATCTAGTCATTTTTATTATAAATTTAATTACCTACTTACAACTAAGTCTACGAGCCAACATAATATAATGTAGACAAAACTCGTTTGAGCATAATATAAAAGACCTCACTTTTAAACATACCTACATAAAATTCTCATAAAGATACAATATCGTGGAAAGTCATCTTTCCCGGACCACTGCTTCAAGCACCTGAGAGGGCCCGCTATATAGTCTGCGCGGGGCAGTCGGGCGTCTGTTGAAAAAAGGTGGTGTAGTTTATGAGAGCATAAAACGTGAGCGATCCTAAGGCCGAGCCCACCTGTCCCAACGCACCGCATATCCTCATGCCGCGAGCTCCTCCGCGTCGCGACCACCCGTACACCCACATACGGCCATACGACACTAGACCACTGCACAACACCCAGCAACATATCACTATTACTGCGCCCTGGTTGCTACCTGCCATCGGCGGGGTCGGGCTCTGCACCGCCGTCAATAGGATAAAGCCGAAAAGTGCCGCGCTCAACGCCAAAAGCGGCGCTAGGAAACGGCCCGCCAAAGGTCGCAGCCACACCCCAGCGAGGCACGCCATTGGGTTAGCCATTGACCCCAATGTCGCCGCCAAGTGGTAGGCGCGCTTGCCGTACGGCATACACGAATAAGACTGCACCGATGGCATTATGCCGTTGTTGACCGCGTTTAAGACTACCACTAAAACCATCACCCCGACAAATTGCGGTTGCAGTAGCGACCCTCTTGGCGCTGCTTCGTCCTCTTTAGCCACCGCACCCTCCTTTACGCGTTCCGATGCAAACCCAGGGTAGTTGTGCAGAATGCAGAAGCTGATGAGACTGATGGTCGACAGCAGACCGAGAAGCGTGATGTAGACGGTGGAGTCGAAGAGTGGAGGTGGGCGCACCGCAATGTAACTTGAGTTATCAGGCTTCAATACACACTCCACCTCGCCTCCGACGCCCTGTATAAGCGCCAGAACGGAAGGCGTGAACCCGCCAAGCCCCTCGCCTATCAGGTACGTAGCGAGGTATATTTCGCGATAGTGCCGCAGGTACGGGTAGAACAGCACTGAGCTCGTGCAGCCGACGAGGGCGACAAAAAACGTTAAAGCCAAAAAAGCTATTGATCTCTCGGTGCCTCCGAGGAAAGCGGTCTTCGTGTAGAGAAATGAGTTAAGAAATAGGGCGATTGTACCGATAGTGAGCAAACCGTAGATACAATGGGTATCAGAGACCCGCGAGAAGTTGCGTAGCAATGCGTAGATAAGTAGACCGATGTTAGCAGACTGCACAGCAAGAACCATGGCAGAAGGTAACGTCCAGCCTTCGGGTAGCCCCGCTATGAGCACCGGTAGCTCCACAAACAGGCCATTGACACCGAGCCAAGTGCCCAGCCCCCAGCAAACCAACAGCACATCAAGCGCCACACGGCGGCGCGTTGTCCACATAGTGCTGCTGCTACTGCTATCGCGTGACTCCGTCAGACACGGCGCCCGCTCTTTCTCCTCGCTCAACCTACGAAAAAAATCAAGCATTACTTTCTTTAAATCTACATCGATTGTATTTAAAATTAAGAACAAATAAACGCATACACACCACCATACAATAATTTATGGAAAAAAATGGTTCTTAAAATCAGAAGTCACACACACAAGTATATAATAAAATGTATGTTTAAATTATGTTTAATCGACTTTTATGGTATTATTACATAATAAATAGATTAATAAAGTAAAAATATTACACAATAATATACGAGTTAAACTTATATGTCATTGTTATACAATTTATTTTAAAGTGGAGCATTTTATTGATTCATCATTGAACATGAAGAATTCTGTTCTCAATACTACGAGGAAATTTTGAGAAAGAAAAACATTGTTTATGCGCGTTTCGTTTTGAAATCTGTGAAATTAACCATTTTAAATTAAGTAGGTATAGTATATCGTAAATAAAAATTTATAAGGGAGCTTTAAAAAATCATTTAGATCTAAATAGTACTAAAGTAACTAAAAGGTTCCTTTAGAACTTTACCAGCGAACAGCGAATATGTAAAGACTGAGACTGCAGAATTAAAAAAGAATAATTTATGTTTCATATTCAACATGAATAAAAACATATTATTTCAATAACATAAACCTAAACCAACATTTTCAATTCAAAACCATAAGAGATTTGGTACTCAAATCCAATTTTCTGTTCTCTTTGCAGTTCGAATAATAACCAGTTCGCCCTTAAATACATCAATGCCTACGTTTTTCCAAGAACATCAGTTATGAACAATGGTTATTATGATATATTTTATGTAAAATTTACAAATTGTTAAACAACACATACCGAGAATAAGGGGTGCCCCCTAATTCCTAAATAAAGAAGGTCTCAAAGCAAAACAATTGAATCATGAATCAAAATGTTTTGTTATAATTTGGCTGTGTGAGTTGTAATCCGCTTAGGATCCGCACAATAATGAAAAACATTATTATATATATATATATCATATTATAATCGTAAAAATATCTATCTATATCGTGAATTAAGAAATATTAGTAAAAACACTTAAAACTTGCTTTATTTTATACTGTTGTACTAATTTCGTTTATCGTGTAAATTAAAACCTTTACCACACAAATTATGCCAACTCTAATAAACTATAGCGATGTTCAAGTAATCTAATATATAAAATTCTCGTGTCACAATGTTCGATCCCATACTCCTACGAAACGGCTCGACCGATTCTTATGATTTTTTAATATATATTCAGTAAGTCTGAGAATCGGCTACTATTTATCTTCCAAACACCTAAGTGATAAGGGGTGTCCACCCCAATTTTTTATTTTTTAGATTTTTTTTATATAAGTATTTTTATGATACAGCATACAAAAATACATACAACTCCTAATTTTCACCTTTCTACGATCAACCCCTATTTTTTATTATTGTAGACAGTTATTTTTATAGAACAAAATTTATTTTTCCTATAAATAAAATACATGGCAAAACAAATGTTTGCCGTGTCAGCTAGTAAATACGTACATTTTGATGAGAGCTTTCTGTTTCTTTAACACTTAAACACATTAGTGTCACTCATTAAAGTTTCATGTACAAAAATGGTGGCCTTGCGCTACAAAGCAGCTGGAATTACCATAAGGATATGTGAAAACTAATATCAGCATACCTGGCGACGCCAAGCGATATAGTGCGACGGAGCTCGAGGAGCACCTGGGCGTCTTCACTACCCGCGGCGGCCGTCGTTTCAGCTGATGACATGCCACACATACACTACACACACTAAGTGCACTCTAGCGCAGTCAGTATGCGCCGTGACTCCTCACCACTCAGCTGATGTATAACGGTTAACTACTAGAAGATGGTACGTCACAGTATGATACCATCATTTGGAGAATTCTCCAAGACATTAAATTTGCATTACAAATAACTGAACAAAATTCTGTACTTAGTTCTTCTACTTCAAAACCATTTTTTTTATAATTTATTCAAATATAGGAATTTAATTTGAATTTAGTCCAACTGAGTCAGGGATATCGTAACAAAAGATTAGAATAGTATATACATATATAACTTAGTCACGGCACATCATCAATTATTTTAGATTTGCTAATCTGATATTGTACAAAATAATATCAATAATGGAACCAACTGATAAGTAAATCAATAGGAATGACATTGCAATTAATTTTACATTATCTTTAATAGTAAGTAATGTCTTATCCCTTTTTAAATTTATATGATGAGTATTAGTTTAGTTATTTAATTAAGTTATTAGTTAATTAGTTAGTCTTAGGCTACATGTTAGAAGGTCCAATCATGCATAAGCAGATGAAGTGATAACCTTATAAGCCATAAATTAACTATTTAGTTTTTAAGCCTCAAACTATATGATTAGAATAAGCCTATCAAGAATAGTGAGATTTTACTTAGTAGTTAAATATTTAGTTAGTAGGCTGTTTACTATGGAGCAAGATATGGCAGTAAAGATTACAATTCAGGACAAGATTAAGATTATTTGCTTAAAATGGTGCAACCAGGTGTAACAATTTATTATATTTGTGTAGTAACATTATATACATGTTTTCATTCTTTAACTGGAAATTATGAACAGTATTTATATAATAAAGGGTGATCATTTGTGAAAATATCAACATTATGTTAACTGTATCTGTTTTACAGAAGCTTATCTCTACTATATTGTATTAATAGGACATTAGCCTATATATTGGTTGGTATAGTTTAAATTAGCGTTCAGCGTTCGTTTAGCGTTAGCCGAACTCGAGCCTTCAACACTCCCAACAGAAACTCAGCAATAGCAAATGTATACCGGCGGTCGGAAAAGTATAATAAGCAATATAAGGATACAATAGAAAAGAAAAGAAACACTCTCCCCCAAGCCGGCTGGTCCCCGTGGGGAAAACGACCACAACCCTCCAGCAAACACATATAAAACAAATGAAAGATTAAAGCTGGGTATCGATTACGCGCTCCTGGCGCACGCGCCATGAATGACCGCACCGAGAGTGCGTTCCGTGAAACGCGTTCCAAATATTTGAAGTATATCAACTACAGCCGCGCCTGGCGCACGAGTGGCAACTGTTCCAGTGTTCGACACTTCATCATGGAAGCCAGTCAGCAGCAGCTTTTGTAATTATTCCGTTTATAAACAAGAAAAGCCAGAGCCAGTGATTTGGCTTTTAGATACTCTCAATTTTTCTCTTCTGTACGATGATAGGAGCACAGTCATTTTTTTCTTTAATTCCGGCATAGGGACTCCCATTTCACTACTGATTTCTCTCCAAGCATCTTCTCTAAGCGATTTATTATGATACGAAGAACTTTTGCTATTCCACAGTAGTTCTTTTGTACCATACAGTTGTATTAATTTACGGCAACTTTGGTTATCCATAATTGGGAGCGCAACAAAAACAAAAAAATACGATATATCCGTCCCAACTGGCGCGCGCGCCACGATTGATGCGTGGTAAAAAACCGACACCCGTCGGAACGGACCGCTCCGCGTTCGGGCGTTCCAACGAACACATTGGCGCGCGTTCCAAGCAAGTGTTATCCATTGCGCGCGGCTGAGGAGCCCCAATGTTCGCCCTCTTCGATCTTCCCCCCCCTCCCCAGCGCGCCCGAAATGAAAGCTTTAAACAAACGCGTCAAACTCTCAGGATCGGTACATTCAACGTAGGATCACTAGCATCAACGAAAAGATTAATGGAACTTACGTACCTACATGTTACAAAACATAAAAACCGATATACTCGGCTTGGGAGAAGTAAGAAGAACGGGCTACGCAATTGAAGAACATGAAGACTATATATTTTGTTACAAGGGTGAAACGCTCGGCCTATACGGGGTTGGATTCTTAATACACAAACATAATACGCTTAAACAAGGAAAAAAAGGTAGATCAACCTACAAAACACAACCTAAGCGATTACGGACAGACGAGGACATATTGTCGTACTTTAAAAATCTCGAGATCAACAAGCAAAAATTGGAAACACAAGAAAAAGATATTCAAACTCTTTACGACAACTTAGTTAGCATCATTACCACCAGCGTTGCATGCACATTTAAAAATAAACAACCAAAATCTATTAAGAAAATTCTTAGCGAGCCTACTAAAACTCTTCTTAAAAGGCGAACTGAGCTCCTGAAAACCAAACAAAAAACTTAAGAAATTAAGAAAGAACTGAGCACACTATTTAAAACTACAAGTAAGGCAATAGATAAAGATTACATAGACTAAGAAAAGAAAGAAGAGAAGAAAGAAAGAAGAAAATCTCAGTTGGCAGTCAGGAGGGATAAGAGTTAACCAGGATCGACTTACACACCTCACATTCTTGGACGATATTGTCTAATTAGCTGAAACAAGTAAGGAACTGGAAAAGATGATAATTACCTTAAACGAAGAAAGTGAAAAAGTAGGCCTTAAAATGAACAAGCACAAAACTAAAATAATGACAAACTGCGTGGTTGCTAAAAACACTACAGTATACCTTAACAGAAAGCCTCTGGAATATGTAAAAAACTACATATACCTTGGTAAACAATTATCATTCAAAGATAAAAATGAAGAACTTGAGGTAGGGCGGCGAATTAACATGAGCTGGAAAAAGTTTTGGTCCAAGAAGGAAATCTTAAAAGGTCAATTTCCTCTTCACCTCAAGAAAATTATCTTGGACACTTGTTATCTTAACTACTCTCACATACGGCTGCCAAACGTGGACTTACAATACAAAAATAAAAATAAACTAGTAGCATGCCAGAAAACAATGGAAAGAAGCATACTCAAAATAAGAAAAATACATAAAATTAAAAGCGAAAAAATAAGACAAAGAACAAAAGTTGTAGATGCCTTACATTATGCCCTAAAACAGAAGTGGCAATGGGCGGGGCATATAGCAAGATACACCAATAATAGAAGAAATAGAAGCGGTACCAGGAAACAAATGGAGAAAGAGAGCCATAGACAGAGTCAGTTGCTGGAGGAGGCCTTTACCCGTGAAGGGGTTCTGATCGACAGTACTGAAGGAAGCTATGTTATAGGATAACAAGCAAAAGGAATAAATAAAACAGGCTTTATTATTATTAAAGTTCAAATTACATATAAAGAATAACCAATGCTATTCCTTGAAGCAAATGTGAATAAAGCTTAATTTGAATATAGTTGATGTAATAAGAAACAATTGAGAATTCAGTTTTCTATTTAATTTTTTTATGTCTAGAACAAAGTATAGATGTCTATGTTAGGAACGTCAAAATTATAAATTATATGTGTTGGCTCTAGTTACTTTTATAACTTGACAATATAATACAAAATAAAAGAACTTGTAAATCTTGTTTGACTTGAATAAAACTAAATAAGTATAGATGTATAAGGTAAAACCTCATAATGTTAGTATTAATGACCATCTGCTGCTGCTCACCACAAGGTTAATTTTTGTTAAGACATTTTAAGCAAAAAATGGCATAATTATATCATTCTTGAAGAAAGATGAATTAATTAATTGAGGATATGGTTGAAGTAATCACGGGTATTGTGAAAATGTAATGAATATGATATTTTAAAGCATACCATACCCGCAAATGTAGCAACAACATGTAAATTTACAAACTTAGTCTTATTTTTGCAATTACAAAGCAAATTGAGAAATAATTTGTAAAATTATGCAGCAAATCCTTATATATTAATTTGATAATTGGTATTTTCTTACCTTGTTAAACTCATCATAAACTAGTATTTTCAACTGGTATTTCGACTTTGTATAGTTATTTAATACTCTTATTATTTATACGCCTAATTGAATATACTTGTCCTTCAGCATACACATTAGTACAATATTCCAGTTGAGGCGTTGGACATTATATAAACAATTGTTTAGGAGGGTCAAAGGTGGACTAATTTTTTAAAATAAAACTACAACATTTCATAAAACAGAAAAGTGATCTAAAGTCTAAAATGTCACACCAAGGGTTACAGATGACGTCTAATCAGTAATCACACGTTTAACGATTGACTGAATCTGATGAACTGAATTGTGAAATGTGAATTGTGAATAGAACAACTATATTTATAATATTTGTAATTATTTTGACATAAAAATAAAATTTACTGACAGCTACATATATGGTGCCGTTGCCATCTTTGACACTCTCATGACATCTTTGAATCATTACAGTTAATGTCAGTTACTGTCAAGTATACAATTTTAAAAATTATTTAATACTTTATACGTAGACAGATTATAAGACTTATTTTTTAAATAATAATATTTTATAAAATGTGACGTCAAAAACTGCATTACAGTGCGCTATACAAAGTAAACAACGTTTGTGTAGTTCAAAATAAATAAAAACATTATTCACATAGGTAGGTACACTATGAATGCCAATATTAAAAAAAAATCGAAAGGATCTAATTAACTACTTACCATGACTTCCGAAATCGAGGGCGGTTATTTTTAAATTGCGTTATAGACAACAGCTGGCGAGGTTACTACCGTCAGTCATTGGAATTTACTAAAAGCATTGCATTTTTACAAAACAATGTTAGTCGGCGAGTTAGTGTTGGGATAAGATGATTCTTAAAAACGTAATCGATTCGGTTCAATACGTTATTGGCAAATGCCAATCAGGAGGAGAGTTATTCTAGTGCTAATATATATTTTGAATACACAGGGGTTTAGACAAAAGCACGACACGCGTAGCCCACTACTACCAAAGGAATTTCTATGAGAATAAGATTAGCTGACGCTTTGTCACGTGACCGTTATTGGGTCAAGCCTAGCACGTTCTGGAGACGAAGTGCGGGCGGGAAGCGTTCAAGCAATTGGGATCCAGCGTTTAGATTGGCCAGCTCGAAGTCTTGACCTCAATCGAATTGAGCATGTCTGGGATGTTCTAAAGAAGACATGTAAGATCAGTGCTACCTGCTCCACAAGACAACAGAGGGTTAAAAAGAGTCATTGCAATTTGCAGAAGAGTGGGAACGCATTCCTCGGAATTATTAAAAACGTCGTGGAAAGCATGGCCAGAATTCACGCTGTGACTTTGACAAGTGGTCACACTGGTTATTAGGTTTTTACATTTGTAAATTTATTTATTTAAAAGAAGTAAACAATCTTCTTGTCCTTATTGCCAACCACTTCTTATTGCTTGTACAACGTGAAATATCTGCGAACCCCGCTCAAAATGCGCTTCCCTCCCCGCACCCCGCCCCGTTTTCGCCTATCCAGTACCGTTGCCAACGCAATCGCCGACGCCCACGTGTATTATTCTTGCTTTCGTAATCGCATTTTAGTGTTTATTGTTTCTCTGTTTGGTGAAATATTACATAAACTACCTATTTAGTGCTGTATGTAAGATGGGTAGGTACAGTTCAATAAAAATAGTACACAAATAAATATTTTTTATTTTTACATCTTCAATTTTTTGCTATCTCTCCAGTTTGTATGACGTCATAAGCCAGGTTCGCAGATATTTCCGACGACTTTTACATCAAATTGCCAGGTATTCACTTACGTACACCACTACGATAACGAAGTTTACAGACTACGTCAGACATTAACAGCTGAAATCGAACGTAGAACGTAAATTTTCTTAGGTACCCGTTTTTTCACAAAAGAGTATATTTCCCTAGTAGCTGCTTTACATCCATTAAGTACCAATGTAACCATACCTTGGATACAAATAAATGAGTGATATTCTTAGTCTATTTTTCGAAAATGATCTATTACATCCATCTTACAGAAATTCGTTAAATTAGATAAAGTTTTAAAAAAGGTTTTTTTATCAATGATATACTCATGACAACTAAGATTATTATAGTTGTAATAAATTACATCAAATTTTAATATTTTAACTAAAAAGTTCAATTAGCCGATATTTAAAGAATTTATGAAAGTAAAATAATTGTTATAAACTACACTATAAATCCATAGAGATAATCATTGACAAATCTGTAGCTGCAATCCGTCCCTATCCCCAAAAAAATTTGTATGAGAATAATCTTAGCGCTCACGCTTCGTCACGTGACCATTTACATGCTAACTCGTTTGGCGATAGTGGGTTACGCCTGTCGCAAAATGATTTTGTCTCAAACACAGTAGGGCTTTGTTAAGCGTGTGACTAATTGGTAGGTCATAAATACATGAGAGAACAAAAATATAGACACAGAAACATATCTTGTTGATATTACAATAAAACAACATTTGGTTCGACAATTATTTTAATTTAAAATTTCAAAAAGCAAATACAATAATAATCTCCGCATGACTCGTCTCATAAAGCTTTACACATAAAGTAGGTATTTAATAGTAGATAATAAATATAACAAACAGTGAAACTCCGGCGCTACTCTGAGCGTAGTGCTCACTCACTCACACGCATACTTCCCCGCTCTACTTTTCCTTGTCACTCTCTGTCTTCCTGCCCAAGGGCACAGCCGCGCGGACCCTAAAACATTAAATGTACACTTTAGTAAATAAATACTAGCGTCGCACAATTTCTATGCCGACTCAGGGTAAGATTCACAATCGAAAACAACGCTAAGTATAACTCCTATGACACAATTCCAATACGTTTTCGACATACTTAGCAGCGACTCGCAATTTTAATTTTTGCAAGGGCTATTCTAGACTATTCCACCAACAATTTATGCTCTTGTTACCAAGCTTTTGTAATATGTTTTGAAGTGATCTGTCTTATTACTATGATTTTTTTGCTATGAGCGTGAAAGTAATAGACAAATAAAAGAAATCAATAGACTGGAAGTTAGTATAGATAAACATAATATATAATAAAAAACAGAAAAATAAGAAGTAATTTTAAAAAATTAAACGAACTTTGAAAACTTGTCAGCTGGAAAGGAAATATGTTTCAATACCCATAAATTACAAACTACTAAACCTATGTTCAACTGGGAATATTTCCTTAGAATAAATATACCTTAAATCATTTAAAAAGTATCATCTCGATATAACTTTCGGTTTCCGAGAAATTTGTTAAGTCGTACAATATCCCGAACATTCAGGTTAAACTTTTTGAAGTCGGGTTAAAAGACACAAGTACATAAGGGGATTAAAAACCCTTACTTAGCGGTTATCTCGTTGATCTTTGCGCGCGCTAATTCCAGATTGGCGTCAACTTGCGCCTTGTTCATCTCGTAAGCTTTAGGCAGCGTGAAAAGCGCTATCCAGCCTGAAAAAAACACAAACATTTTATAAAATATTTAGTATAACAGAATTAAAATTAACAAAAAAATAATTTTAATTATAGTAACAAAAAACTGTTGGTAATAAAATTAGTAGGTACATAAAATTACTACTTGTATTTTATATTATAAAATATGAACACACAGGTCTAATGACCTACGTCATGATCGAAGAACAATGTCAGATTTGCAAAAAAAAACCAAAATCCACTTGTTATCATATTTGGATACTACATTGACTAAATATTACGACTACATTTTAAAAATCCATGTGTTTTAAATTTCAAATTAATCAGTCGGTAAAGTGACGGATTTGATAAAAACATGTGATTTTTCTAGAAAACTGTGTAATTTAATGTTATTATTTTTATTTTGTTTCAAAACAAACCCTTTTATTTGGTTGTATGCCAATGTTCATACTAACAGAATATGAATTAAAATAGTTATGACAAAAATTAACATCATTATATTATTTTGAAATGGCTGCCCTGTAAAGTTTACTATTTGTCAGTCACTATTCTACGACTATGACGAAATGTTGAATTATAAAACATGGCAGAGAAGAATTGTATGGAGGGTCAACAGGGATACATAATAGAGGATTACTATTAACCACTCACATACAACAGTTTCAAAAATACAAAATTCTTTATTTGTTTATCTATTAAGTAATATAGTAAGTCAAAGACCTGTGACAGAGAAGCTTCGCTCTACTTTAATAAACAATGTTTTAACATAAATAATTATTATACTATATACAATTGAAGTTTCATAATTAATTCAATTCTATTATTGAATGTTTTTTACTTGAAATGCACAGAAAGTGCCTGCACGGGCATACTCTAGGGGCGATTAAGTAATCGCCGCGCTTACAAAACTAAGAAAACCTTAATGAGGGAAATGCTAAGCCTTGGCTCGTACTAAAATATTCATAAAAAACTTCAATATGTACATAACTGAAATAACTGTATTCTTTATGGCCTAATGGTATGTATAAAAACATATAAAAAGATATCCAGTGGTGCTACAACTCTACAAGTAAGCGTTAATTGCGAACATAGTAGCACTTTTAAACCACTTAGCCAACACTGCTAAATATTCAGGGTTATTGGTAATTCGACGTAGTCCCGTTAGGAATATATGTATGGTCATAGATCAGACAATGAAACGTACATTCATTCATATATCGAGTGTTTCATATTTCAATAGTGCCTTCAAGATTTCTTAATAATGTAGTTGCTTGTCCTTTACCTTTGGCCACAGATATATATGAACCATTTTTGAGGTATCATGTATTTAGCCTTTTTCCAAATAAGTCAAAAATGCAACATCATATTTTTTTTCAAAAAAGTATAAGTGTTTTGTTTTATTTACATTGGGAATTGTTTTTAATTAATTTTATGGAACTTTTAAAGAACTGTAAGTTTAGTTCCAATTCTAATTTCCTGCCTGCTTTCTTTATAATCATTATTTTATACCAATAAGTTCTTAGTTGTTATGCAATATGGGAAAGCTGAAGAAGAATTTTGTTTATGTCTTTAAAATAATTTGCAAAGCCATTTTAGTGGAAAAAAAAATTAAATTATATAAAAATAATAACATAGCATTTGGACCGATACTTGTGGATTTTTATAAATCAGAAGAAAAACGAGATTTAAAATAAATTTTTGATGATCATTTGTGGCTTATTTAAAAAAAACTATAAAACGTGATAATTCAAAAACTTTTCATAATCATTAACTTCTAACGGGAATACGTCAAATCACCAATACTGTATATAATAAGTTTGTGAAAATGGTTTTACTTACCGAGTATGACGAGCGTGATGCCGTTAAAGCATGCCCCGAGGTATGTGAGGCACCACAGCAGAACTCCAAACTTCAGAGAGTCCACCAGATCTTCTACCAGGAACAACCTATCACCAACATTTTATAAGAAAGCCATAGCATTTGATACCCCTGATTTGTATAAAACTGTGAAAAAGGAGGGTGCTGCTCTTCGTCTGACCTCTTCGAAATGTCTTAACCACTGTCTGATCGGCCCGAAGGCCTAAATGACTAAGGTAGAGAAGCTGTATAGTTCTTAGTATATATATATCCTTAGCCAGTGATTGTAGCTGTTCATACACTTATTTTCTTAAGGATTTTGTTTCCAATGTTTCTAATCAAATCAATTTTGCGTCTCTATCTAACCTGCGACGACTAGCTTACCTTATTTAAAATTTTTTTTTTTTTAGTATCCATAAAAGTAAACTGTCATATTCCTACTGTCATTGTCGAAAATGACATTAGTGACTATAACACCCGTATTGGATATATTTCAAATTGCGCGGACTTTTATAATATCCTACAATCACTTGATCCATAATATATCATTTAAATATGCGTAAATTAGTGATAAAAAATCTTTAATATTTGTAACGTGGAAAACAATTTTAAGTGTCCAACGAGATTGTATGCAAACTGAAACTATGTCAAAATGTATATGTATTTTTGTTAGTTATAAATGTTATGTCTATTTTGGTTTATGAATGTTAAAATTCGCACCTGCGAAGCTCATGCAGGGCGGCGTTAAGGTGTGCCGTAGCGGAGGCGGCCAGCGCCTGTGCCCGCTCCGCACTCACGCTCACGTCCCGTTCCAGGAGCCATCTGAAATTTTAAGCATTCAATGTAATGATAAGAAAGAAATACAAGTATACGTAACGAATTTTTTTTCCTTTTGTAAAACGTTACGATGCGGGGCGGGGATTGAATTACGCGTTATTGTTAATATTATTTTCGACTTTCCAGTACTTTACACCACATAATGGTAACTTTTAGGTATAAAGAGTCACTTGGTGGTCACGAAATGTTTTAATATTGGGTACAGAAAAACGTTACGGCGCGTTGCATGGGGGGGGGGACAATAATCTCCAAAAATTGCGTGACGTAATACTTGAACGCTCCCTTAGACCAATTTTGGCTGAAGGTGGTAAAAACTTTAGTGGTTGACGGTCATATAATCTATTATTATATTGCATTTCCAACAAAATCTATTATAATGTTAAAATGTACTAACAAAAAATAGTAATGAAATACTCTTGTAAACCGATCCTTGTGTCATATAAGAAACTTCCTACAGTAAGGTATATCGTCAAGTCTCGAGTCCATAACGATTTCAGGTGAATGACCCGAAGCAAGCTGTCTATTGTGCTAACCTAAATTCTATTCATTTTAATAATTACCGAGTGTGATATTTTATGAATTTACTCAGTTTAAAGATATATAGATCATAATAAGTATATGTACTCACTTGAAGGGGTGTCCTTCATTGGTCTTCTGAACGGCCTGAAGAACATTTTTGTAGATACGAAAAGCGACAGCGGCGGAAAGTGCCAGCAGTGAGCAGTAGGCAAACACGGACACCACGGAGCAGCAGGCCAATGCTATTAGCAGGACTAATCCCGCGCCCAGCGCTGCACCCGATCGCGCTGCGTTGCGCCAGTATACAAGCGCCTCCACTGTAACACAGACAACCATCCAACACTTGAACAATGAACATGCCACGTTTCTTAATTTAAAGTATAACAATTTTTTTTTACATCTTTAAAAAATGCTGTAATTAAAATTCAAACTGTCCAGTAACCAAAAATGGAAAGCATATGCGTATGCATAATAAACGTGTTCAGAATAGAAGGGTGTAAGGTTTTGTTACGTGAGCTCGTCTCATGTCTGCGACTGGGGTGCGGACTTCCTGTGAAGCCTTAGACGTGCTTCAAGCTTCCAGCCGCCACCGGTGACTACTGAGCTGCTAATCGCTCATAACACGCGAATGCCTTGTTAATAAGAATGTGCTAACAGTATTACACACTCGTGATAATGATATTATTTTTGTTCCGGAGAAGTTTACGGAGAACAAAATAATAACTAAAAATACACGTTTACAGAAGATAAAATAATACACAGCAAAAACAATTTAAGAAAATAATAGTATCCCGTAAAATGGTGGCTATTGTGTTAATGACAATATATTTACTTACTCGTCTGTGTGTACAGGTGTTACGTTTCTAAAATCGCTACGTGTAAAAATTCCCTCATGGAGTTTTTGACACTGTATTATGACAAAAGTGCTCCATGAAACTTTGAATCTCAGAATATTTATCTATTAGTTACGAATATTTATTTATACTTTGATTTAATAATTACGGATAAATATTGTTAAACAATAATTGCGATTAAATTTGATCAGTGTATGAATCAAGCAGAATAACTTTTATCAGTGAAATTTACAGTAAGTTATTGAGCGACAGGTTCAAGAACGCCGATAACAACATTTAGGAAACCGGTCATAAACGGACGGGAACTCGCCTACGTGGTTCACATACGTGTATATACAATGCATATAAGAATCAATGATAATCCCCATTAAGTTAAAAGACCCATATGGCTATTAAAAAGGGAGCTTTCTGGCGTTTATACATGTATCCATCATTATTTAATGAATACATACACTAGCGGTAGCTTTATAGAAAGTAAAAGTAAAATTTTCCATGTAAACTAGTGAGAACGATTCGCTCCATCGCATGTAACATCGCACGTGACGTACACTCGCATAACGTGGAAAACAACAAAAGTTAGAAAATATGACAGAAACTGACCAAACGATAAGATAAAACTGGACACGGATGATCTGGATTACGATATAAAGCCATGTTTAAAGCGAAACGCACAACGGAATCAATGGTATCCTACAATATGGTGTCCACGTAATCATCGCGATTATTGCACCCCACTAAAATACGTCGCACTAAAGCACTTCACTGTCCCTTGCTAAGGACATGATACAACGACGTTTCTTATAACAAGGATTAAGGATTCTACCTGGTCCTCGCGGTGGGAGTTCAACGTACTGCGCGGCGTGGCGAGGCGACTGCTTGGGGCGCGCCATGTCGGCGAAGTGGTCGGTCGAAGCGCCGCGTACTGCCACGATGCTGACTTTCTACGCACACGTCACCCACACTACTGACTCCACGCGCGCCCGCGCAACCGGATATCTCGTCAAAACTTTTCTATCAAGACGTCTGGTATTGTTGGATATCTATCACTTTACTTGGGTTTCATCTCCAAAAAATATGATATTCGAGAATTGATATCTTAATAGTATAATTTCCTGTGCAACATTAATTCCGCATAAACTATCATATATTGTCACCCTATAGATAACCCGGGATAACTATTTTATACTTATTGATGTCAATATAATGCTGGTTCCTATCGTGATTAAATTAATGCGTAATTTTATACAAATAGCTATAAATTAATAATTGAGCGTTACAATACGATAATGTATCAGACTTCTGTAGACGTGTAATTAATATGAAGTTAAAGATGCACACGATCTAGGATAAAACTAAACATATTTTTGAAATTGCAGACCCAATTTCAGTTTTTACGTAAGTAGCGAGCTTTGTGAAATGCAATGAAAATGTTCCAGCCTCCCTGCTGAGCAAATGTCACTCAAACTGCGAATAGTAGTCGTGTATAACCAGTTCTTAATCAGACTGTGTGCGTGAAAAGCTTTGCTGTAGGTCAAGTTTGCGTTTTTTAATACAAGTAAAAGCGAAAACGAGTATGTATGTCGAAAGGTAACCTCTCTGAATTTATTTATATATAATACAGTACTTACCATTTGAACATCGTCGTTATACGAAAATTTATTATAGCCCGGGAGTGCATATTCATAAGAAGCGTATTAAAGTCACAAGGGTCGTAATTCAAGCGTGCTCTAAACATTGATGGCATCAATCGATCAGAGATGTGTTGCCAAAATAAACATAAATTGCTAACGATTGCGCGGGAGGAACGTCCAAGTGAGAAGGGTGAGGGGGACGAATGACGATGGAGAGGTCAATACTATGCTTTCTGGGCAGTTTATATGAATTAACTATCTACCTACATGCTTAGTATTATGTCAAACCGAAAACCGAAACAATAAATGGTTATTTTAATTGACTGTCAATTGTCAGTAAAAAAGAAGAACAAGATAATCGACAGTGAAACACCTCAAAACGTGAAGAGAAGTAAAGTTTCATCGACAACTAGTAACGTCATTATGAGACGAGATTTCGTCGACACTGGTAAGTGATACACACGCAAAAATGCAATCAAATGCAAGAATGATAAGGTTTGAACTGATATGCAGATGTTATCGATCAGCTGCCAATTTGATAATTATGTACATAGTAATTAATCGTAGGCTAATATTTTGTAATTCACTTTAAATTATGTGAGACAAAAGCGAATAACCAAACAATATATATTGTGGTTAGTGAACTTATCTTAAGAAAATATCGGGGCAAGTGCAAAAAAACCTTGTGTTGGATAGCCCATTTGTGTAGGGAGGCTACAAGGTAGTCAAACGGGTGAAACCTCGGGGCCCAGCTAACAAACAAATATATATATATAACGGGAGACCGAAACTAAGGATAGATGAAGAAGTAAATTGCATCGTCATGTTGGAACGTTCGTTTTCTAGATAATCATAACGACTAATCAAGTTGTATAATAAAAAGTAATGCCAAGATAAGCAAATGTCGCCGAGCAGAATGGAAATATAAAAACGATAATACAATTTATTTATATTCATCTTCGGCCACAAGTTGAATAACCTGATTTTTTCAAAATGTATTTATAGAATGTTTATGATTAGACTTTAAATAAAAAAATCTGTGTTTTTATTTTGGTGCTACCATTTCAATGTATTTTGACTTTGAATACCTACTATAGTCAAGCTAATGAGCTACTTGCAGTAATATCCATTTAGGAAAACCACCGCAAACTATCGTGAATAGAGTTGGCTATTTATTTATTTCCTGCAGCTTATTATATGACTTATAACTACTACATAAGTAGTATACATTTACGTTAATATAAAAAATATAAGAGAGAGTTTATGTAGCTTGAAATTTTATTGCTGCCTTTGTTTTATCAAGGTTGTTTCAGTTTTTATGATAAAAAGAGATGTGTGTATACTTTAGTATTTCCGTAGCATCCGAGAATTATATTATGGCGATAAAACGATGCGTCGGCGCTGGTAACTATGTCGCATCGCCTTGTCCTTGGCGCACGCATGCCGCTGATTGCAGATAAGATATTTTTATAAAAACGCGTTTTTCTTTGCCAATTGCGTGCATAACGAGAGTTGAAAGAACAATATTTTTTTCAATATTCATAATAAAAATAAATATCTCCTACGACTGCAGAGGTCATGTCATGATAAGTAACGATAAGTATGTATGTTCAAACAATGAATGAGTTGGGCCCGCTCTCACTTTATTGACGTCAGGAAACATTAAACCGCCGGTGACTCGACTTGTTCTTCGTACCGATGCCATGGGCATTGAAGACAAACTGACCCACTTTTTTATATAAAAATCGATGAGTCTATGCTGTCATTGTAATGATGCTGTGATGACCAAAAACGTTAAAACTGAGTGAGACAAAGTAAAAACTGTTAAGATTTTAAATGACGTTCACCTGGATCCAGTGCATGACTTAGTTGATAAAATGAATGAAGGTCAAACAGTTTTCTACGCCACATCTATGCTCGTCGCTAATGACGGCCATAATGTCAATAAAACTGACCTCCATACACATCTACGACCAAGTACATCATATGAAAAATTTATATGCACAATGTCTTAAATCAGAGGCAGCACACTATCGGTAAATAACGAATATGATGCCAGGTACTGAAAACGAGTTAAAAAAATAGGCCTTAATCCTTTCGGTTACGTTGTGTCTTCTATCTATACGAGTTCAGTAGGTAGTACAAGTAACTAGCACTGTTATATTTAACTTGAAACGCCGAAACCATGACTGAGGATTAGAATACCGTCAGGCATCAAGTTAAAAAATAAACAAGCAACTAACTTATCGATCGCCGTTTGGCGACGATCCAACATGAAGTGGACTGGCTTTGTCTGACCTCCTATACTTTCATGATTTAAAGGCGGAATATTGCAAACTCATGCAATATTCCGCCTTTGTATACGAACAGCAGCTTTTATTGCCTTTTAATTAATACGCAAAAACTATGCCCTATTTTTATGGAAACTGTGTCTTTCAAACTTGTTCCGAATAACTACGCCAATTTTACATAATTGATTTCAAATGGTTTATAGATTGATGAGAATATTATTATGACAGAGATTCATACACAAAGCCGACAAAGCTAGATTTTATGTTCACGTACTGTATGATGAATGGTGCGAAGTAAGACACATTGAGACCGCATGTTCTACGATGGATTCTTAGCGTGTCAACTGTGTAATGTATTATTTATAGAACTCGGACTATCTCGCCGGTACTGTAACAAAGATAGACTACGCATTGTACGAAATTTTTTCGATTATATAGAGGTGAAATTTTAAACCACACAATTTTAATAAGACACGGGTAACAAATTTTTTTACAAGCTCTCATACATTCCAATAACCCTTAAAGTATGTCGTTCCAACTAGTTGTAATAATACTGTTGTAAATCTCATATAAGATGAGTGAGTGGCTCATAAGGCGATAGACGACACGGCTTTGGAAGCATTAGGAACAGAAATACAATGCTCGCCGGCCACAGCGTTAAAAATACCGCTCAACTAGACTGACTGGGAAGTACCGGCACACACAGATTACCATATTATATCGTTGTTCTCAGATCTGCTATTATAACTCGAATTGCTAGAACGACAAAATAAAAGACGTAATTAGAGCAACGGACCAACGTGCACTCAAACGACTAGATAAAATATATAGACCTATTCACTGGGGACGGCCTCATCCGCAATTTATTGTACGCCTAGAACAAAGTATCTACATCAGCAATAAAATACGATCCACAATGTTTCATTCATTTTTAAAGCAGCAATCTTAATAATGCATTCTTCAAGTGCGTGTAACATCGTAGTTTGCGAAAAAATTTACGCTAAGTGAAAAAAATTCAAGTAATTCAGCTATTATTGAATAATTATTACTGTGATTTATCGATGTTTATATGTATAAATATTTCTATGGGTTAACATTAAATTAATGTACCATTTAAACAGTCAGACAAACTATATATTTAAACTTTATAACTTGATCTAAAAAAACAAACAGACATCACGAGGACCGTCTTCTGTAATATGTAATAATCTGCAAAATCATTGTGATATACTATGCATACAATATTATAGATATATAAGTTAATAATCTGTAACTACAGTCCAATCCTTTTAAAAGTGCGCTCTTTCTTCGTTTCGATGGAATAAAACTAAAACCTTTTATCAATATGATAACATCTATTTGAAATATGACGACACTAGACACTCTTTGACACAGTTAGATTTTGAAATCATTTACAATGATAAACTATGAAGACCAATAAAACATGTGAAGTAATCTTTACTCCGGATTCTTTATCTAACTATAGTTAATACTAACAATGAATGCCTGTAGGCTGTCAACTGTAGACACTAGGCAGTAGTCACCTGCGAGATCGTGTTACGTCCGACTCGACAGGGAACACCGAACAATACAACCTTCCTACCACTTCCACCGAACTAACAACCATAAAACCACAACGTATACAAACACGGAGCATCTCATCACAACTTTTATTCAGGCCAAATTAATTAGCTTTGTTAAAGTTTGGAATGTATTTGGTAAAAATATTGAAAGACGATAGAACGAATTAGTACCTTTTACTTTGAAGTACAAATAATTTCGTCAATTTGGTACGTGATCAAACTTAATCACACGGTTTTTGAGTGTACTTTTTGTAATGTTAGTTCTGAAATTAAATGGGAAACCGAATTCACGTCAAAATTAGGACAACATTTAAGCAACATCGCCAGGTTCTAGATCAACGATATTTGGGGAACAAAATTATTAGCAAATGGAAGTGTGCCATATCTAGTAATAAAATCAGTATTGGTGGCCTGGACTGGCTAGAAGTTGTTAGTGGTGAGTTAGTGACAGAAGTGACACATGTGCAGCCTGCACATGTGACGGTTGGTTGTCACAGTGGTGTCAAGTAGCTCGGAGCCGGACGTCTCGGCCCGGACTCACCGACTCGATCGATTGTTACTTCTTTATTTGTGACATCGTTACACTGAAAGCACACTCAACACGGGACCCCGTTAGCGTCGGCGGCGCTCGGAATGTCCTCGTCACCCGTCGCGCGTGCCCTCCTTCACTCACCTTCAGGGTGTAGTCTCTGCGGGTCGAACCAAGCATCTGCAATAGAAGGCTGCGCGTTAGCGGGTTAGTCGCGATAGAGAGAAAGCGAAGCGAAGCCCGCGACACTTACGCGGGTCGAGTACGCTGCAGAGAGAGGGTCCCGAGCTCGCCATCCTGACTCTTTACGTAATTACTAAAGCCGATAACGGCTGTACTGGCGCGCGCCGCGCTTCACACTCGCGTCGATACTGGCGGTCGCGGCGCAGCTCCCCGCTCACCGCACCCTCACTCGACCCGCGCATGCGTACAGACAATGCGCACCCTCTACTTCTGGCATGCTGCATTACATATTTTGCCTGTACATGTAACGCAATAGGTATACCTTACACTACCCCGTACTACACTCTTACCGCTTACCAACTGCTTTCAAAGATAGTACTTTTAAGTTAGGTTAGTAACAGCAATAAGCGTTGTCTATGTACAGTACACCACCACCCGATGTCATGTTTCAATAAATGAATGTGATACATAGATACACAGTACATATAGGTTAGAAAATAATTAAATAAATAACAACACAAATGATACACGCACTAGGAACCCCTGTAATAAAATTGATAAAATTAAATAAGTAATAGGGAAGGTATGTACAAATCTCCGTAGATATTTTCGATCGAACTAGGAATTAAGAATGAGTCACAAGTAAGCAATTAGGTACATTCAGCCTACAGATGTCCAAACTTTAATGAGCCAAACAAAAATTCATAGATTGTGCGTTGTTATTTAAAAATAATCGGTTTTTAATTGCTTAGCTATCGTTTGTGTACATGGGTAAATAATTGTACAAATCAGTCTTTTAAACTTCCTAACCGAAATGTGTAACGGCGCTCGCCCATGGAGACATCACTGACATCACTCGCTCTAGACCACAAGTATTACGTCACAAGGACGACAGACTGACAAGTGACAAGTTCAAGGCAATAGGCATTGTCTCATCGGAACCAGGATAAATCGTCCAATAAAAATATACAACAAACCGCAGTGTAACAACATATTCAATTTATATGAGCACCTACAACAAATATTTACAATAACATTATATTAAAATTTCGTGGAAAATTTCAGTTTTAAACAAACAATGCATCGAAAGGTTGCAGCGACATCGAGTGATATACGTCACAGTGCCAGTTAAAAATATCATTCGGCCGGTGACTGACTGCTGACGACACCTGCACCTGCCCATTAAACGATAACACAGAAATAAGACCAATCTTTAACGCCCTATCTACACAATACATAAATAAAAACCCTTGCATATGGTATACTAAATAACTTAGCATGGTATAGCTCGAAGATTGGAGATTAAGTAACGAACACAGTCATCCATGAGTCAGCTATGAGTTACCTTGCACGAGCGCACCAAATAGAGCCTTATTGCTATGACATCATCCATTAACATACGAAAATCGATTGTATCGACTACAATTTTCATGTATCTAGGAAGAAATCCGACTGAAAAGAAATATAAATAGATGTGATGGCGAAACGGTTGCGTCCGCTTATGCAATATATTTATCATTATCAGTATCATAGACGAAATCGCGACTTTATGACGCCAAACGATACGAAAGATCCCTTCCGAATTATCTTATTAAGTTAAGGAAATTAACAGATTTTATTTAAATGCCTTTTTACCTGAAGAGGTAGACAGAGACCACGGATCTCCATCTGCTACGGTTTTGACATACCTCTCTCACTAAAACAGATTTTAATAGAGCCATTATGAATAGTGGGTCAGATCCAAGGTCATGTGTAGTTGTATTTTATTAAATTGCTTTTTTGCACTGAAATTAAGATGTTTACTACCAACCCCATTTATGTCCGGTTAGTTATCTAGTAGGGAGGAAATAATAAAATTTCCCCATGAGTCACACGCTTATTCACCAATATAATCGTTGGTTATCTATTTGTCGTACGTTGCTGAATAATTTGAAACTTTGGGTTATATAACTATAGAACAATATACAATTTTCAGTAACAATCTTCGACCTCCATCACCACTTGTACCAAATGGTAGAACAAAAGTTTAGTTTATAATAAACTGAATACTAACTACGTATAAGATTTCTGCCACCACAAAAAAAGAGCCTCTGACCTTGAAACGCCTAAACAGATCTTCATAAACTGTAGCTAAGAACCATCACATCAACATTCTAACAAAAAGACCGCATCATAATTGGTCTATTCGTTTCGGAGTTGCTACGCCACACACAAAAACACAGATACGTCATTAACTTAGAACACCCATTTTTTGTGTCTTGTCAAAATCTATGACATATACAATAAACCCGAATTTTTAGTCATCTTGGCTTAAAACGCATGGAAAGTCTCACAAATGTAAATGCTTTTTCTTATTTAAGTTTTATTATTGTACTCCGACTATAATCAAAAGTGCACATTTGCACTTTAAGTAATGTATTTATCCTAGGCAGTTAGTCTGTTTTGTCGCGTGTGCGGTCTATCGATCGAGTCGGCGCGCCGCCGCTGTCCTCTAGACCTAGCCTTTATAGCACCAACGAACCGTCTACCCTTTCCGGAAAATCCATACAATCCGAAGCTCTGCCAACATATTTATAATTCACAGCCAAAGAAAAGCCAAGAGAAAATCGTTAAATACCAACTTATTCATCTATACCTACAGATCACTCGAAGTTCTTGATAAAGTTAACCTTTTTGTTTATAATTTCTTTAATCAGCTAATGAATTATACACAAAGCATTATCTATATGAGGTTTGGCCTTCAAGCAATGTTGGCAAAGTTCATTTTCTCTTTGTTGTATAATTAAGCGCAAGTAAACAAAGTAGGGCGCCGGTAAATGTCGTCGATACGGGGAGCCTTGCCTGTATGACTCAGTAATTGACAATAACTTGTTCCGTAGGTGCAGAACGGAAGGATAGTTTTCAACATCTTGATATATATAAATTACGTGTCACGTTGTTTGTCCGCTATGGACTCCTAAACTACCGAACCGATATCAATCAAATTTGCACATCGTGTGTAGTTTGATCCAACTTAAAAGATAGGATAGCTTACATCTCAATTTATACCCGCAATATTATTTTATTGCAAAATATTTGTTTAATATTTGATAGTCACTGTGTTGAAAGTATCAACGTTTCACATAAACTACAATTTAATGGCATAACCAACAATAAAGCATGGTGGTCCCCATGACTTTTCTCCTACCGTTTCCCTTGAATAGTTTGCTACTATATAATATAACAAAAACCTTAGCCACAGCAACGCTTGGCCGGTCTGCTAGTATATTATAAAGTAGCAATTTGTGAAATGTTAAATAAAAATAATAATAGAACACTGAACAAAATATATGAACGAGAATAGTTTCAATTTTGAAACTAGATCTGAAAGTATAAAGAAAATAATAAGAAGTAATAGTAAGAAAATTCCACCACCAAATGATAAGCCAAAACAAACGACACTTACGTGTAACTGCATCATCTCCTGATCCCATGATTGTCCAGTCACTAATAGTTCACAAAAATATGAATATCTAAAGGAACGGATACGGATTTTATTTTGTAAAATGCTTAACGTAAACTGGACGTTAGCTCACCGCTAAGGATTCTCCACTTATGAGCGAGCTGCGTTTCTGAACTGCTAAAATTAGCACTCAACATACAAGACGCATTTAACATGTTATATGTATCTGAAACTGACGTAGCTGATTGCTGATCTTTATATTTTCTCAAATTCAGCTGATCTCGATATCTTTTCATATCAAATCAATTGCCCAGGAAACTCTGGGTTCCAGTGGAAACGTGCCGTAATATTATGTTCACATATGTTTGCGTATAATCTAAATGGCAGACATACGAAGATAAGATAGTGTATATATCTGAATTAGGTTTGCACTTTTTGCATTACCTAAATGAGATAAAGGTGTGAATATAGGTTTATTTTTTGTTTTGTAAGTAAGGCATTAAATTACCTATGGTGTCGTATATATGAATATCGCTGAGTCACATAGCACGCAATAAAAGAAATACGAACGCATCGATTTTAATTAACACAAAAAAAGATATTTTCGTACTTAGCTATGCAGTTGAATCCTGGGTAAACTCCCAAGTGTTTATCTAACATTAGGCATTCAAATGGTTATTATAATGATTAAAGCACATTTATTTCATTAATAGTATTAAAAAATACTATTTAAAAATGTGAATCTCCAGAATAACCTAAATGGCTTGATATTGAATTTAATATTGAACAAAGCTAAGATCGCGACAGGTCAGACAACGCTTCCTTCCGCGTGCAGTGAGAGGCGTGGGTTTCAGCGGGTGCCGTTAGCCCGTCGCTGCACCGGTCAATGCTCTTACCGCTTCGTCAGTTCCGCCACCTCTGTAAACCTACCTGCCTAACTTAAATCTTACTTTAACGCCCACCCCTGGATGCCCCTACACTCATCAGGATAGGACCACGAAAAAGGGGTTTCCGGAATACGTCTTTTATATAAAGTCATACTTTTGGACGAATATAAGGTACACATGTGTGGTACAAATTTGCAAAAATTAATAACAGTTCCATTTAATTTAGAAATCGTCATCTGCACTAAAATATTAAAAATCTGAATCAGAATTTCAGTAGTGACGTAATTCCCAAACTTACGAACATGATGATAAATTTCTAATTTTAGGCATTTTAATGATATGCAATTAAAACTCTTACCTAGTCCCATTTGGCAGAAAATAACCTCTGCCTCAATGATGTGTGCAGTGGGCCCTCGAGGCGCCTCGGGCTTCGGTTTAACTGAAACCACGGGAGCAGGTGCTGGTTGCGCTGGTGCAGGTTTTGGCTCCACAACCGTTGATATCGTTTCAGTCTTAGATTCTGAAGGCTTTAGTAAAATGTCAGGGGAAGTCATGGGCTTAAATTCAGGCTTCACTTCGTTTATAATGGGGGCAACGTCAGACATTAATTCCGGCTCAGGTTCTTTCTTCTCTTGCGAAGGAGCTGGGATCGTAACAGTAGCTGGAGTCAGCACAGGCGTTGGGTCTGTAGGAGGGGCGGGTTCGGGATCTCGTGCTTTAGCTGGCACTGGGCGGTGCATAGGTGACTCGCCGGCATCCGATTCACTATCTGTAAATTTGTCAGCGATGTGTTCCGATTTTTCTGTGACGGAGGGAGCACGAGGTGTGTCTAGAAACACATCTCTTTCCATGTCAAGGAAACTTTGAGTAGTATTCCGTGCGCTATGCAGCGGCGAGTCACTAATATCGTCCTTCTTGCCCTCACCCTCTAGGTGCTCAAAATCATCCACGGAGTCCTGATCTCGCTTCATACTTGCCTCTGGAACCACGGCATCCGCGGGCGCTCGGTCCCCGCTGGCAAGCCCAGTTAACAAAGCGTCAGCACCGTCCATAGCGAAGTTCAGACAATTCAACTTTACAGGTAATAAAAGGGTGCGGTGTCGCGGTTTGTATTAGTGGAAGGGTCTAGACGTGCCTCCTTGCAATATTGTACTGACTACTGAGGTCTGCGCGCCGCTTGCCGGTTGCCGATGCACGACGTCACTCAGCTGTCAGCACGAGAAACGGTATTAGTCATCGCACAATACCCGGCCCTAGTGTTGCAAAGAACGAACGTATGTAATATTATGCCGTATCGATTAAATTAAATATTACTCAATCTGTATGGTAGGCGTTAAAAAATATCGTCAAATAATTTAATATTGACAGTTAATTATTTCAATAAAATGATACTATCAGCTTCACGAAATACGTAGCAAATTCACTATACAGAAAAGTAATGTAAAAATTATTGACTTAATTTCAACGGTTTCAGCTGACAGCCTGTAGCACTGCTTTACCGACAGTAACAGATACCGACTATCGACCGATAACCACAAATTTTTCTGTCAAAACTAAATTGTTTCTAAACGATGAAACGTCATAAGTAAGACTTACTAACTTTTATAAGGTAATTATTTTATTGTCGGTTTACAATATCTACCATGAAATTTACTCAATAAATAAAATTGTGATAGGTATGTTATTAATGATAACTCATAATTTTTGTACTGCTGGACAAATTGTTGAACGATTGTTGTTGAATGTCAAAGTCAAAAACATATATTTTGACAACAGACATACAGTAATTATTTTAAACTTGTTAATTACTTACAGGCTACAGCTAAAGCCTAAAGTAAACATTATCACATCTTCTCAACTTGTTTTCCCTATCTGACTATATAATGAGATTTTATAACTAATCTTTAATCAATAAAATAAATTATTAAAGCTTTCGATTGAATAAAAAAAATGACACATTTCCAAATGTCAAATTACTAAATTCGTCATTCAAGTTTCACTTGTAAGCTTATGTGACACTTCTAGATAATCTGAATTTTGATCAGTGTGACCGTTTTTAGTATATTCAGTACCAAATTGGTATAATTTGGGCTCCGTGTAACTAATTTAGTATTTTTTTGGTATCCTTTTATATTCTGGTATTTTTTGGTACATTTAAACTTTCAACATTTTAAAACACATTTTGATATATTTTTGGGCTTGGCGGGAAACACTCACTTCCATTCGTTCGTATTTCGTTCACATGTTTTTGTCTTTGTCTGATGTTTACCGCTAATGTATCATTTTGTCTCTTTCGAACGGTTAATGCTAACAAATTCGCGAATCGTGCTTTAGCTACGTATTACTATCTACGTTACATGCTGTATTTTTATACATGAGGTCCCTTTTGGGACCACGGATGTTTTAGTTCTTTATTTATTACTCTCTGTGTGCATGTGTAGTGAAGATAATGAAGCACAAATACGATCAGAAATATAGATCTGAGTGGAAACAAAATTCTGAATTTTCGTCATGGTTGACAAAAGATAAAAATAATGAGAACGCCTTGTATAAAACGTGTGGAGAAACATTTTTAAGCAGAATCGCTACAATTAAAAGTCATGCATATTCTGAAAAACATCGATAGAAACTTATACATTATAGTGGACAATCCAAGGTAAGAAAGCTATGCCCCCATTAACATATTTATAAGATTATTGTGTCCCTTATTTTTTATGGCACATGAATTAATTGTCCTACTTCTACAGGATGTCCGATGAATCTTGGATAGTACATGTACAGTTGTACACACATGTATAATTGATTTAAATTCATCAAATTAATCAAATCCTGTTTATTTTCAGAACGATGATAAATTACTTCAAAGGAAAGAACCCATATCTGAAGAAGTAAGAAAAGCAGAGCTTATATTTTATGCAGCGTTGGCAGAACATAACATACCATCTCGGGCCATGGATCATCTCAGCGATTTATTCAGCAAAATGTTTTATGATTCGGAAATCGCAAAGGCCTTTCCTGCAAACGCACTAAATCTGCTCAGTTAGCTCAGTGCAGCGAATACTGACTTAGTATTTGTAATAAAACTTATTGTAAATATTTATTATTATTTGAATATGTCTGTATAATGAAGGTGTGTAATTGGTAAAATTAAAAAGTAACTGATAATAAGTGTTTTAATAAAAAAATCCTCTTTTTCTTTTAGTATATTTTTAGTATAATTCAGCATGTGTTTTGGTATTATTTAGTACTGGCACCTTGTAGTTTTGGTAGATCGCCATTTTTTAAAACGGTCACACTGAATTTTGATTCTTGACATAAGGATGGCGGTGTTTAAAAGAAATGGTTGTGTTCCTCCTATTACTTTTAACCATTCAATAAAATCTCAACGCAATACAAATGATACAAATACTAAATTATTAAATGGAAATGTGAATCAGCCTTCAAATGGTTACACTAAAACTGCTCAACAGAGCAATGGCGTTACGGTATGTTTCATTAGTAGCATATTAAACTCTTGCTGATAATCCACCGGCGGTTAATAATCTTGAGCACTTTCACCCTTTTAACTGATTTTATAAAAAGGATAACAATAGGTATTTGTTTTTTAATTACATAGTTTGTCACAATATTAGTATCAATGATATTTTCAAGGCCAAATGTAATTTCAGCTAAATTAGAATCAACCGACATCGATGTCACCACGCTCTGATTTGATAAAAACTTTGTTTCAATAAAATGTTGAAAATACTTAATTTTTGCTTTATGACTTCATATTCGTTTTACTACATGTACAGTTTTTATTACTTCAACCGAATTTTTAAGTTAAAATCTCTCAAATCTCAAATAAAAATCGTCTCAAATAAAGAAATTTAGTTTAATCTAGCCTATGTGGACTACATAAATGATGATAAGTAGTTAAGAAAAATGAATTCAATGTATAGGTAAAGAAGGATAAACCAATGTGTGTCTTATATTTATTAATTTGTTCAAATAGTTCTATAAAATCAAACCTGTGAAATGAAGCACGGACTAGGTGGCATGTTAACAGGTAAAGTTGTATGGTTAGATATGTTTATTTTGATGAACCATACACATATACTATGTTAATGACTGCTTTGTTTACTATATTGTACTCAATGCAATACATTTTAAATATCTTTATCTATCATATACAGTTAAGAAAACATGCTATTTATTTCTATATGTTATTATTCTATATTTAAGATTATTGAATAATTTATAATTATATACATCTTTTTAATAAGGAGTGAAAAGCCTAGTATATCAATGTTTAATAACTGACCAAATGGTTTTTTAATAATATTTATTCATTGTATCTTTTTAATATAATTTTAATAAGAATGTAGGTCTGTGTATCTTATCTACATAATAATCGGACTATTTAATTTCTATTTAAGATGAAATGGAATATGTAATTAAAAAATCAATACTGATTTCTACTTAATGATCAAATCACTTAGAGGATATGAAAATATCATTTTTATTTATTTACATAGAATCAGCTGCGTGAACATGAACACTAATGAATCTCTAATAAAGTTCATAAAAAGGAACTACTAAGAAACTTAGTAGTTAGTGATTTTTTGTAATTTATCTATTTTGTAATTGTGTCTATAAAATTTTTATTTCCAGATAATGTATATAGAAGTTTATAATTTTTAATAATTTCTAGGCCAGATCTTATGATGGTATTGATTATAACATGAAATGATTGGCCACTTTATGAAACTATCAATTCTTCACTATGGCCATGAATATATGTATATACTGCAGTTTATGAGACTTACTGAATTATTTTAGTTGAAGTTGATGTTTAAAAGATGAATAAGAAAGTAATTGTGAGCGACTATCTCACATGAGAAAACTATAGCTTTTAAAATGTATATAGATTTTTGCTAAGCTACTACTTGGTTAACATTAGTTAAAATACATATTTTGTGAATAATGATCTAGAATTGATTAGGCATTTTCTGATTTTAAGTTTTAATATTTGCCAAAAATATGATATTGGCTAACAATGTAGGACTGTGTAAAGAACATACTTGATATAGTTTTACACACCATTATATTAAGTGTTGTGTATATTTGTGTACATCAGTAGAATATTGTATAATAGTTACAACTTATTAGCCGCGTACTGACTGAGCGAGCAGCCTCGCGAGGCTGCCTCGCGAGGCAAATCCTCGGTCGGTCAAGACGTGCCTCGCCCGAGGCAAACGCACGCGCTGCCTCGCCCGAGCGTGCCGCGGCCCGAGCCGAACGTTGTCGGTTTTTGTCGATGTTCAAAGGCGCCTCAGTACGTTTGCCGCGCTCACTCAAGACGGTAGTGTTTTGCCTCGCTTATTCGTTGCGTGTTAGTTGTGCGTCATGAGCCGCGTACTGACTGAGCGAGCAGCCTCGCGAAGCAGCCTCGGACGTTTGCTTCGCAACGTTTGCCGCGCGAGGCAGCCTCGGTCTGTAAGTTTTCTAATCCGAGGCTGCCTCGCGCGGCAAGTCCGAGCCATCGTGAGCATCGACGCTCAGTTTAACTTGAAGTCGAATAGAGACCGCGCGTGCCCGTATAGTTTGCCCGAGACCACCATGAGGCCGCACATTCGGAAAGCTGTCGCTACCACTGCCTTTTAATAATTCTAAGGCTTGCAAAAAAAGAAAACAGAAAACTAAACGTTTTTGGATTAAACTCTTATACAAAAATAGATTACAGGCTGGGAACAGATTATTTGAAGAGTTGTGCTTCGATGACGAAGAAAAAAATTTCACTCGAATGAGTAAAATCGAATTTGACAATGTGTATTCTCTCATAAACGCCAAAATAAGCAAGAAGGACACAAATTTTCGAGAAGCAATATCCGCTAGGGAAAGATTATTAGTGACGTTGAGATTTTTGGCCACAGGAGATTCTTATACCAGTCTACAGTATCTATTTCGTATATCAAAACAAAGGATATCGGTTATAGTTCCTGAAGTCTGTGATGCTATAATTGAGGTGTTAAAGGATTATGTTAAGGTAAAATAAAATTACATATTTTTA